ACCAACATGAGTGTAGAATATATAGAATAAAAGCAAGGAAGAAAATAACTATTGATTGATAAGAACCAAAAGGACTTGGACTCGGACTCGAACACAGGCAATGATGACTCGACTCAGACTCGATTCGGACCTGACTCGGACTTGGACTCGGACTCGAGCACAGGTAATGATGACTCGGACTGGGACTCGACTTGGAATCTTCCTAGGTGACTCGAACTTGGACTCGGACTCGAAGAGCGGGGATTCGAGAGTGAGTCGGACTCGTGAATTTGTAACTTGACTACAACACTGGATTACGTTAAAGTTGACAAATTAGACATGAAATTGACTATATTTCAGTCAATTACGAAATAAAATCTTGCAACAATTTTGGTTTCTGAATTACTCTAAAGTGAAATTATAGTTGTTTTCTTAAACAGACCAGACCTAGGTTGCATGACATGTAAATGTATATATCAAATGATGGTCTGAGGAAGTACAGAACAAATTCACCCACAACGGTTAATAAAGGTGTTGTCTCGTCCCATATCTAATTAGAAATAAAATATTGATATACCTTTCAAATTTGAAATATGTCCCAGGCTTGCCTGAAGCCCACAAATAAATAGTAGCAACAGTCAACAGTCAGATTTGAAGGCCTAATTTACAATTTTCAGTAAGAATTAAAGACAAGATGAGCGCAATTTCAAACTGAATTTATTTAAAGTTTAGGTTTAGGCCCAAAATACATGTCTGACCTACTGCTAAATTATGAACCATCCAGAACCCTCAGGTCTTCAGGGACTGGTCAGCTTTCTGTCCCCAGAGTCAGAACTAAACATGGTAAAGCAGCATTCAGTTATTATGCTCCGAATATCTGGAACAAACTCCCAGAAACCTGCAGGTCCGCTGCAACTCTTACTAGTTTTAAATCCAGGCTGAAGACTTTTCTTTTTGCCGCTGCTTTTAATTGAACTATTCACATCTTAAACTGCACTGTAACTTTTAACTTTTATTCATGTATTTTTTCTTTTAATGTTTATTTTATTATCTTTCCTTTTTAATGACTGATTTTAAATGCCATTTTTAAAATGTCTTCCATTTTTGTAAAGCACTTTGAATTACCTTGTGTTGAAAGGTGCTATATAAATAAACTTGCCTTGCCTTGCCTTGCCTAAAGGTGAATAATAAGTTATCAGAGCTGCACTCTCAAATACCGTTTTAAATTAAGGGATGTATAACATGAGGACATTATCCTTTTAAGATGTAAAATAAACACATCTGAAAGATTTAGTAGTGGCAACAGCTAAGCCCAGCATGGCCTCAAAGCACTGAGGTGAGGCTGGTGCAGGTCCTCCTTCATCAGGCCCCCACAGAGGATAATGGAGACATCCATTGCTGTCCTCTTTGCAGGGTGTTTTAATACAGGAGAAGGCATCTCTGCCTCAGAGCTATTCGGCTGAACCAATACACATCAATCACGTTATAGTTGCCTCAAAAGGCCTCTGCAGCACTGAGCATCACGCGGTCTCAAATTATCACAACGTGAATATGGGAGGATGATAAGTGAGAGTAAAAAAAAGCTTCAGACATTAAAGCAATAAAGTAAACTATCAAAAATTACTCAGTTTTTATGTTGACAATACTATTACAATCGTACTAATATCTCACATCTGTAGGATTAAATGGGACAAGTAAATAGCTACCTAAAATAAAGATTACTATTTATTTGTAAAAGTCCATTAAACACTTTGTCAAAACTCTAGTAGCATGACTGGTACCTACATATTTAGCTGTGGTCATGACCTCAAAGAGGACCTGAACTAAAATAAATAAACTTCTTTTAACAAATACAAGTGTTTTTCTTTCTCAACAGCCATTTCAAAGATAATTTTCTGGCCCAGCACTGTTGGTAGCAGATCACATAATTTACAGAACCCTGCGGACTTCTGACAATGTCCATTTCCTCCCCCCTACTCCTTTTACTCTCATCTCAGTAAGGGTGTGTTCATCCATCTCAGCGTCTGGCTGGGCTCTTGGCGAGTAGTGCGGGCTTCCCATTGCATTGAGCGCAGAGCTGTCCAGACAGCACTCTCCCTCATTACCCCCACGCTTCTTCTTCCTGAAAATGCACTTTTAAAGCACCTTAATTGCATTGGAGAGATAAACCCGTGGGTGCGAGACAGGAAGCCTCTGCCATAGAGCTTTAAAGGGGCTGGAAGGGTGGAGTGAGTGTGCGCGTGTGTGTGTGAGTGTGTGTGTGTGTGTGTGTGTGTGTGTGTGTGTGTGTGTGTGTGTGTGTGTGTGTGTGTGTGTGCGTGTGTGTGTGTGCGTGTGTGTGTGTGTGTGTGTGTGTGTGTGTGTGTGTGTGTGTGTGTGTGTGTGTTGGAATGGGGAGGATGGAGGGCTAAAGCTCTTTGCTTCAAATCGATGGCTAATGCAGCTCTGGGCAACTCCTCAGGAAGCATTAAGACTATTAGTGCAGGCCTGGCAAGAACACACACACATGCACGGACACACACACACACACACACACACACACACACACACACACACACACACACACACACACACACACACACACACACATACACACACACACACACACACACACACACGGACTGATGTGTTCACTTTATCTGGAGATGCAGAGGAACAAAAGCAATTTGGACGGTGGTCATAAATGCACTTGCTCTTGTGTTCTATTAGTGTGTGTGTGTGTGTTTGTGTGTGTGTGTTTGTAATGTGCAGACAAGGCAAAGGAGGCCACAACTCACAACCAGATTTGACCTACATCTGCAGGGTGGCAACTCACAGCAGGAAGTGATCTGTGTGTGTGTGTGTGTGTCTGTGTGTTACATGTGGTTGACTGTGTGTGTGCTGCTTGACAATGTCCGTGTTTTCAGAAAAAAAAACAGCTAGCTCTGGTCTTCTTGCTTCTTGCAACTAAGCCCTGCTTGACAGGAGATGCTGCGTGTGCTGAGTTCGACACGCTGTGTTTGTGCTGTAGATGTGAATAAGCATGTTTTGCAGAACTACCAAAATCTAAATCATAAATCAGTCTCTTTTTTTCAAATAAACAAAGTAAAGTTATTAAGCCATAAGTTGAATGTTGTGGATCTAAGAGATTACACACACTTGATTGGTGTTGACATTTTTTAAAGGATAATGCATTAATCAAACAAAAAATTAGCTAATTTAGCATGTCCAACATTTTGGAACAGGATGGAGCATGTTGCAGTGTATAGCAGGTACGCATGATGGTTGTATTCAGTATGACAGCAGACAGACTCAGCCCATCTGCAGGAAATGGATGAAACCTGATTCAAAGTGAGAGTGCTGCTCTCCAGCCATTCCCTCTGCAGGTTGATGCAGATAATTGAAATGCTTTCAAACAGAACTAAAAGTCAAAGCTAAAGACAAGAGATGGGCCTGTGTGTGTGTCTGGGTTTGTCTGTGTGGCCAGTGAACTAATTCATTAATCTAGTTGACAGTTCTCTGTGAACTCGGCAGTCCTGTCTGTGGTGAGGAATCACAATGAGACAAACTAGGCGTTGTTCGGCAGAGCAATGAAGCTCCCCTGACAGGCTTTTAGGAAGCAAGGAAAGACAAACATGAATATAAATTAAAAGAACAGTGAAGAGGCAAAAAAGGGGAGACTGGACACATTTGAATTGAAAACACGGAAGTAGAAAAATGAAATTTGTCCAAAAACACAATATAATAGACATAATTAATCTGCATCAATACAGAATTACAGTTATGTAAATAACCAATTGTGAACAAAATAGCCTCATTTTCTCTTTTCTTCATAGACTAACATTTCAAATGAATACACATTTGCTTATCACCCTGTTTTAAGTTTGCACAAATTAGCTCACATGTTTTCACGGGTCCACAGCGGCAACCATTAGCGCTTTTAGCTTAGGCCGCAATTAAGCAGACACTGTTGAACGGCCAATAAGCTTAGTATCATCAACTACGTTTGTATCTCATTAATGTCTTGACTGGTTTTTACATCACAAACATATAAAAGATAAATAAAAAACACAGTTCAAACATTTAGAGCAAAAATGTCAAGCTAACTAGCTTACTGAATGCTAACTCACCAGGACAATCAGCTACATTGGGAGAAACAGCATCAGAGTTTATGGAATCAATCTGAATGTGTGGGACTGCAAATGTTTCAAATTAGCTATGTTAATGCGTATGTAACCCACTCTATTGAAATATGTCGGTGGTCTCAAAGGCTAATCTTGAGATAAACTTGTTTCATGGTATTCTTTTTTTATTCGAAAACAAATGTCTTGGCATTTAGAATATGCATAAATACATTTAGTGAAGCTGGTAAAGGCAGGTGGACAACTTTAGAGATCACTCCTCTTCCTCCAATCGTTCTTGGAGCCACTCCAACTTCTTTCGTTCCTCAATAGGGGAAGTTAATGAGATTGCTTCTCTTCCCAAGGTAAACCATCAGCTACTGTAACAGACAGGAAACTTCATAATTCCCACCTCAGTCTTTCTCAAGCTGAGAGGGACAAACGGCCCCCACTGGCTCCATGTGGTTTGGAAATACTTTACATGAGTTTATTTCTATCTATCACCCAACCAGTGGAGAGATTCAAAGCAGATAGGATGTCTTTTACAATCGATATCCATCTTATGTTTATACCCAAGGATGGAAACAGAGGGAGATGGAAACTCTTCATCCTCATACCCTCAATCCAACCATTGTTTCCACAGGTTTCACAGCTCCTTTTTGAATATGATTGCTCTCTAGTGGGAGTAAGGGGAAACTACAGAGGCCTTCTGCTGAACCCAAATGCACAGGGATCGTTTCTCTCACTGAGAGAGGAGGCCAGACGGCTCCTAAAGGATCGATACATTTTGACAAATCTTGTACCATTTCAATGGGGAGAGGCAGAATCAAAGTATTGCAGATTAATCATGTGATGCAAACAAAAGTAGGGCCTTCATTGTGTATGGATGACAAAAGACAGAGAAGCAAGTGAACAATAATCATAATAGATAACATTATTATTTTTTTACATTTAGATATATGAGCTGTCCGAGGGAAAATTAGTTGGAAGCAAAACAATTTGAACAATTTACACTTTATTACATGCCTAGAACGACTGTTAAGTAATTCAAGATACTCAGTGAAATTATAAAAACATATTTGCCTGTGACAATGACTATCTGTGAAACACTTTGAAGTTATTCATCAATGTGACGTTTTTACTAATGTAAAGTTTCTGCTTTTCACATTATAGACACAGATCACATTGTGTCTATAGCATTACAATTAGGGAATAGACCTTGTTCAACAGGCATGAGATTCCAATGATCCTTTGTAGAGGCTCGGCAGACTCTTCACTTGTTTATTTAAAATAAAGGTTATTTAAATGTACAATGAAACACTGCAGTTATTGGATTCCAGCAACAAGGATTACTGCCTACCCATAATGTAGCTCCATTCAACTGTTGTTTGCCGTGTACATGCAAAATCAACAGAATTCAGGAAGCCGCTTCATTGAAGACATCTAGAATGTCTAGGTTTTGTTTTAGATGTTAAACAAAGGGAATTCAATATCATTTTGACATACAGTATAACCTTTGTCAACAGCATGTTGGGCTTATGACTCTATTTGTCTAGAGGGTTATCTGTATAATGCGTCTGAGCATCATATACCTGGGTTTCCAGATACGTTTTCCAAGATAGTGACGTAGATGGCTGCCATGTCTCCAGATTCCCTTAAACATTGCAGTTTAACTTTTTAACTTTGTCGCTTGTTTGAAACTTTTTTTCACAACAAGCAAACCGCCCCAAGCAAGCCCTATCATCTATATGTGATATGATGAAGACAAACGTTTACCCATCAGAACCTTGGTAGACAGCAGTCTTTCACCAAAACCGATAACAAGTCATGGTTACCTGCTGCTGCTTTACCTGGGCAGCGCAGGTGAGAAATGAGGCGAGGCTCCTGGACTGGAGTTTGAGTCGGACTGAGGAAACATGAACTGTAACGTCATGGTTTTCACAGAGACTTTGGACTCCACCCATGGATTCTCATTTTTTGCCAGGAACGGACTCTGGGAAAATTAAATGAGGAGGTGTCAGCTTGATAGTTAACAGCAAGTGGTGCTCAGATTTGGAGATCATTTATTCAGGTTGTTCTCTCCATTTGAAGCACGTTTTATGGGAAATGTGCCTTTTAATCTGCCGAGGGAATTTAAGTGTCTGTGTGTGTCTATGGTTATATCCAGACACACACTTATTACTTATTGTATTCTTTGACACAAATATGCAGAAATACGCACTTGACATATTTCCACATGTTATAAAAATACACTCATCATCCCTTCTTTGAGGAAGGACAATCCTTTGTTTCCTCTGCTGAAAAAGAGTCTGTCATTGGTGCTTCCCTTTTCCTCCAGTGGTCAGGAGCCAGGCTTCAGTCCACTTTACTGCATACTTTCAAAAGTGTGTGGTTGAAGTCCTCCGGCTGGTCAGCGAATACATAATGTCCGGCTCCACGGATCGTCTGATAACACAGAAGGAAGCTCATTACGAGAGAGCAATGCACACAGCTATCAAAAGGCATTTTGAACATTCAAATTGATAGCCAAGTCGCTTTGGAAAAAAGCATATGCAAAATAAAATGTGATGTTACAGTATGTAGCGGCTGTGGTTCAGGTGTTAAATGGGCAAATACAAACCAGAGGGTCAGTGGTTCGATCCACATCCGCTGTACCCAACATGTCAAAGTTTCCTTCAGCAAGATACTTAACCCTAAGTATGTCTATGATATTGAAGTGAATGTACTGTAAATTGATTTGGATTAAAGCGTCAGCTAAATGTAATGTTTCAGTACATGTGATTCTTAGATTAAAACACAGACAGGTATTCCTAGGAACTCAGTACAAAGGGATTTCAATTGTTTTTCCACAAAGATCACCTATTATGCAAAATCCACTTTTTAATGTCTTTTATACATAAATAGTGTCCCCTCTGCGTTAAGAGATTCTGAAAGTTTCAGGAAAAAATACCCCCTCTCTTTTTGTCCTGATCCATTTATATAAAAACCTGTATGAAAATTAGCTGATCAGATTTTGGCCACTTTGTGATGTCATAACGATGTTTTGGCTTGTGTAACCATTAGCCAATCACCAACCAAGGTAACTCCCCCCCCCCCCCCCCACACCTTATCACCTGAATCTCCTCCTAGACACCTAATATCTCTCAGAGGGGCGTGGGGAGTGGCTCCTTATTTTCCTCTAAAGTAACAGACAGAGAATCAGCACTTTTGGAACAGGGCTGAAACAGAGGGGATTATGGGATGCTACAATGATCTGTTCGGTATTTGGAGCCAAACACTTCAGAGACATGTTTTGTATATAACTGAGAACTACAATATATTACACACAGTTTAACATGATCTAGATTCAAACTAAAATGAAGGCACAATGAACCTACTGTGATCTCTACATGAGAGTGCGGCCTCATGCCTCTGATGCTGCTGCATGGGTTGCTGTCGATGCTGGAGCGGGACCCGTACATGATGGTGAGGGGGATCTGAGGGGGGAGCTGCTCCATCCTCTGCAGCATCGGCCTCACAGCACAGCCCTCAGGAGTGGTCATATTCTTAAAGGCCGTTTCCCCACTGTGACAAAAACAAGGCAAACAAAGGCAGATTTTGATGACAAGGCACAAGTGACAGCAACCAAACTCCTTTATAAATGACTTTCAGACGGCAGTGACAGGGAGGGAGACTGACCTGGGGGTTTGCACGTTCAGGTGGTAGATGTACTCTGACACGGTGTTGTCGCTGAACATTGAAGAGAACTTTTTCTTGAAGTCAGGTCTGAGAGTCTGGACCAAAGTGGGCCCTGCAGGGACGTTTGAGGGTCACAACCATTATAGGATGAGGCTGGTTCCTTACATTTGTCATGGTTATAAACAGCAGGGGGCTTTGAAAGGCACAAAGTCCGGACATCATATGACTGGATCAGTAATAAAACTAGTTTCTGTAAGAAAAAAATATGAATACTTTAGCTCTTATGCTAAAATAACATTGGCAAACTATTTTACCATGCCTGCTTTTGTCTTTACAGAGCAATGATTAATTTGTAGAGTTAAGATTATTATAATTTTTCATTCGTTTGTACTGCATTCATTTTCAGTTTTCTCATTCATTTTCTCTATGAATCAACAGCTACTCTTTGATTACCCTGCATTAACATTCCACTCTTTTAAATTCACCTAGTATTATTTGTATTCCCTGGACCCTGTTGTGTTGCAGCTACTAAAGAACATTGCATCGAGGAACATCTTCTCCTCCTCTCATGGATTAAAGCAGCTTGAGAGTCTTTGTCTGCATCTTGTTTCAGCCTCACCTAGAGGTCCAACCAGCCTCAGGCTGGCCAGCGGGTTGAAGGGACTGAACATGGCCCCCAGAGCTTTGATCCACACCGGGACGGGCCGGTCAGCCTCTGCTGTGTCGGGGCGCTCAGGGAAACCCCAGGGCTCCACCAGCACAATGTGCTTCACTCTGTAGAAACAAGTAAATACATGGCATGTTCATGTTTTGTCTTATGTTTTGTAGACAAGATGTTGACACGAAATATGCCAATCGACACCTGAGGCAAACCTCAAACAGACTATAAACTGTAAACAAAAGGCACGTGAACGGAAATGCTGTTCAACAATTGGTCAGACATTAAGCGGGTAAAAACGCAAATCCCGGCAATTTCTACCGTAGCCTCCACCATGGAGCATCGGCAGGTTATTTTCATGCTGCTTTTAATCTGGAGAGCATATCTACAGACTCTAGCGGACGGCGCATTTGATTATATAATCAGAAAAACGTGAGTTAAAAACATTATAGCACTTTTAATGAGAGACGTTCTGCAGTAAGGAGGAGGCTTCCAACGCTGTCCATAGCTGCTAAATGCTTACTATGATCACCAAGCTCGCGTTTTTAACTTTTCTCGAAAATCAAAAGTCAATTTTACTAAACAGACCCAATAAGGGATAATAGGGCCGATGCATTGGTGCATCCCTCAACACAACCCAACAGCACGTTAAGAGAAATCCCATCCTTACCCACCTTCCAGGGTATTTAATGGAGTATGACACAGCCAGGTACCCCCCCAGGTTGTGGCCCAGAAGTATCATGGACTCCAGCCCTACTTTAGCCCTCCACTGCTCGATGGACTCCACAAACTGCTCCTCTGCCTCCCGGGCGTCTGTGGAGAACCGAGGCCTGCTGCTCCGCCCGAAGCCCAGCAGGTCCACAGCCCAGACGGGCCTCTGCTGCGAGAGAGAGTCCAGGTTCTGAGCCCAGAGACCCACGCCCCCCCCAAACCCGTGGAGCAGAACTAGGGGGGTTCTGTCTTTGACACAGTCTCTGCTGAAGGTCAGAGTCCACAGCCTGGTGCCTTCGGAGATGGGGACGTACTGTTTGGAGTTCGTGCTGTCCACACCTGAAAAGAAAGGAAAATATTATAAAATATACTTTTAGATACACTGTGATTGCCTCACCCCGTGATGTCATTTATGTTTCATTTCATCAGGTGATGGATTATTGAAGTAGCAAGTAGTAAGTAGTAAGATGATCACAATACAGTGATTGGGGGGGGCAGTTATTTAATCAGTGGGGCAAATTAAATGCTGGACAAAAAAGAAAGAAGACAGTGTTGAAGATTTTTTTACATGTTGCCATAGCATAAAGTCATTACGGTGGCCGTGAAGTGCAAGTCAAAACAGCATTTCAGGAAACACCACAGCATTTCAGGAAACACCACAGCATTTCAGGAAACACTACAGCATTTCAGGAAACACTACAGCATTTCAGGAAACACCACAGCATTTCACAAAACAGTTTGTCGTTCCTTCGCTTCCCGTCTGATGAAAGGACTAGGACTGGCTGGATCAAGTTAGCTAACTAGCTAGTAGCAAGCACATTAGTTAGCATTACAGCCTTGTCATTTTTATTAGCCTTAACATGAAGAAACAATAAGTAACCCAAAATGTTAAACAGTTAGTGTCACCGCTAGTCAATTGTCAACGGGGGGGGGGGGGGGGATAGTAATGATATGATCGATTGATGCATTGTCTTTTGTCGAAGGAACCGGAAGGAGTTTACTTCCGGGTTTTAGGACGCGTCACTGTGGCACTCTATTATACATCCATGGTATAAAGTGGTGCAGTGACGCGTCCTAAAACCCGGAGGTAAGCTGCGCATGGGTTCCCTCGACAAAAAAGCAATGGGATTTCTCCATAGGGTTTTAGAAAATAGCTCGAAATAAGGTCTGTGGAAAACAAACCTGTTAGATAAATGGTATATATATATATATATAGGTATAAAAGTCACGGCTCGCCACTGCAGTTGGGTTTAGTTGGTGGCAGTTCCTCCTCACATGAAACATATAGTAAAAACACAAACTAAATTGCGTCTTATAATCAATACTCTTACATTTTGACAGTCATATGTGCAAACTAAGGTTAAAAGAGAAGAAGCTTACAGCTCAGCATCATGTCCTCTGCAGTCTGCAGCTGATCCTCAGAGGTGGGACACCATGAGGGCAGGAGGCGGGGGATCCAGCACCACCTACACACACATACACAGACACACATTCACACACAACACACAGAAAGCTTCATTACGTACATCAGGGACAGGGTGTCGCTGCAGGCTGGGGCTATGCATAAAGGATTTAGACAGGGACATAAAAATATAACAGCATCGATTGAAAAGTACAAGAGAGCATTTTATGAAGAGCGTCACATCTGATCATGTGAACTGAGCTCTCAGTGTGGTTTACTCGGAGGGAACTCCACTGGTTTCACAGGCAGGCTCTGTTTAGGGGACAGCACATTCAAGAGAGGGGCCAGAACACTGATGACTCCACCCATTAATAATACTTGGGTGGACAAAATATTTGCAACATTATATAACAGTATAATCCAAAAGAAATTGGAAGCACCATCGCAGCGTCTAAAATGAGCTACATTTCAATAGAAGCTGTACATTGTTTATCATTTTCATAAAAACGCAGGGCCAACAGGTACAAAATCCATAATGAGAAATGCCCTGCATTTTCAAAAAGGATGAAAATATAAAAACACAAATGTGCCAAAACACATGCAAATGAAGAAACATCCTCACCAACATGACAACACATGCGCAGCGTTTGGAAAATATTTGCGGCTAAGAACTGTTGAATTAGACTGATCTCATGTTATCTATTGCAGGTTATTGAATAAATTGACTAATGAGTGTATATAAATATAATGTTTGCCAATTCCTGAAAAGTGCTTAATGTACCTGCAAACAACAACGGCCTATACAGACAAAAATACAGCAGGGACTGTATTCGCCATGACACAGGCAGTCTGTGGTTTGTACTTGTTTAACTTGTTTAACAGTACAGACTTACCGTAATGTGGAGTCAGCGTAGCCCCACACACTGCTGAGCAGCCTGTCAGCCCCGACAGCAGACATCGTTCTCTGCACAACCCTGAAGCCACAGCAGAATGAAACAAAGAGAGAGGCTGATCAGAATCAGAAATCAGAAATCAGAATCAGATAAAGGTTTATGGCCAAGTAGGTTAACACATAAGAAGAACTTGCCTTGGTGTACATGGTGCATACAGTAAGTAAGAAATACAACCAAAAAATACAATAAAATGAATTGAAAATATTATAGGATATAGAAAAAGATTTACATTAAATCTGGATACACCAAAAAACTATGTGAAGTATACTATTGCAAAGTACTTAGAATAATAAAAATCAAACACGTGCAGTATTGATTACACAGAGAGTAGTTACAGTACTGTTGAGGGATAATACTGGTAAGGAGGACATAATGTTTTAAATCCACACTAGATATTATTATGGATGACATTCAAACTACCAGTGAAATCCTTGTACTAAAAGTATACTTTAGTGAAGTGGAACAAATATTATTCATATTTGTATATAATATGAGTATTACCTCATTGGCATTTATGCTTAAGTACAATTTTAAGTACTGTACTTAAGTACAATTTTGAGATACTTGTACTTTACTTTTAGTACAAAGTAGCATACAATGGAAATAATAACAACAATTCAGAGGTAAATCGTCTACTTTTACTCCACTACATTTATTTAATACCTTTAGTTACTTTGCAGATTATGATTAATGATGTGAAATATGATCAAGTCTTAAATCGGACTTTCCACCTGGAGTAAATTCACAAGGTACCCTGCAGTATACAAAGTCATTAAAACTAGCTGCACCTTTACCAGCTTTGATAACACTTTAATGATCAATAATTATAGAACATATCATAATATTATTCTGAAATGGACCAATCTGCACAATGACTAGTATATTTTGATGCTAATACCTTTGTACTTTTACTTGAATAACATTTTGATTGCAGTTCTTTTACACTCAGTCTCTGGTACTTCTACTTTTACTCAAGTTCAAGATCCAAGTACTTCTCCCACCTCTGATCGGCACAGCATGGGCCAATTCTTGTTCTATCTGACAACAAGTTTGTCTTCAGTGTGTGTTGTCAGTGTTTTGTGTGTGTGTGTATAGTATTAACTTGAACTTTAGGGAAGTTGTGTGGTGTTGATGTTAGTACATTTAGCGTACCCCGACTTTGACTACCCTAACTATGCAGGTATAGAATAAACCAGATTTGGATATGACATATTGAATATCGCTAATATTCCCTTTATTACTTTACAAACAGGTTTGGTTAGGGAGACACTCACCCTGCGCTCGCTGTCACCGCCCGCTCGGCCATTCTGCAACACGGTCACATGGCTTTCAGACTTTGACGTAGAGTCAGTAAGTATGTTTGTAGCCGTTTGATTTATCGTTTGAGATTTCTGCACCGAGCGGTGCTTTAAAGCTTCATTCTATGCGTCAATGAAGCTCCTGTCTCCGCCCATCGCAGCGTTACTTGTCTTAGCTGTAAAACAAAACAAGCACACCCTGTTACTGTGCTGAGGCAGTGCGGAAGTAGCTTTCCAAACATTTCCTAAACATTACTGAGCAGAGGACAGAGCTGGTGAGTAGCGAGAGTAAGACATTTAGAAGTTTTAATAATAATATTTTTTTGCATATTCAAATAAGACTGATAGTTTAGTTTGCACCGACAGCTTTTGGTACAGTAACATGTTACATTTGGCGTTATAGCTTATCCCTGGCTGACACCCTAACTTTACTGTACGTGGCGTTTCAATTAGATAGCCTACTGTCCATTCACTGTAATGCTCATGGCCAGTAATTGACAGATTTTCAAATACGTTAACGGCACTTAAAAGTACAAAAAACGTTATAATTTAGAATTAATTATGATAACATACATATTGTAATTTAACATAAAACAAGTTGATTTAGCTACAATAACATGATCAGTCACATCCCAGATATTGAATGCATTCATTTCCTCTGTACTCTCACTGACATGGCTTTATTGTCATCAATGGGATAAATACTTCTGCCTGTGCTCTGACAGGTCACTATGTGCTAGGAAAAAGTGGAAAATCTTCTTACAATCAAGCTGCAGCATTCGGTCCTCTTTCGTTTGGTATGTGATCATTTGAAACCAAAATCTGTCCTTTCTGAAATCAGTGTAATTTTGATTTTGATTTATTGTGAATCTTCAACCGTTTTTTAAAGTCCCTTGCACAGCCACACAGGTCTTCTCCACCACAGCTGATTAGATCTTTGGTCACACTGATGTGAAATATGTGATGTCACCAAACAATATCAATGAAACTGATACAAAGGTTTAAAGGGGACCTATTATGCTTTTTGGGTTTTCTCTTTCCTGTAGTGTGTTATAGGTTTTTGTGCATGTAAATGGTCTGCAAAGGCTAAAATCCCAGTGTTCCCTCCAGAGGGAGTTTCTCTCCCACACACCCTGCCTGAAACGCCTCCACAGGATTCCTTTGTTTACTTCCATTGTACGTGAGCGGGACATCTAGCTATAGCACAGTAGCTATATTATATATACATTGTTTTAGCAGACACATATTTATGTCCCCAGTAAATTGCATAAAGACTAGTATCATTGGACTCCTTCGTTTTCTTCCGTAACATAGTGACATCATGTAACACTTGCGCTTTTATTGGTTAGTGCTTCAACACATTGGACATGATAGGCTAAGGGGTGGGACATCTCTAAGTGGTTGACAAATCAGAACAGAGATGGCACAAAATACAAATATGAACCCTGAAAATGAGTATAATATGACATCTTTGCTCAAGCACAGCCATCAGGCTAAATGTTCCGCCTGACTACAAACATGTACACGTATAGTGTAACCACTATCATTGATGTGCCCATTTCATGGAGGTTCTGCCTCATTGAGTTCTGTTCCAAACCAATTTGCAGAGAGTGGGACTTATTAAACTGTCCAACAGGAAGTTTATAAACACTGCAACAGGAAGTTATTAAACACTGCAACAGGAAGTTATTAAACACTGCAACAGGAAGTTATTAAAAAGTCCAACAGGAAGTCTGCATTGGTCCTGAACTAATTAGCACCTACCTGACCAAATGCAACGCTGTTTGTGACTGTCAACATGCTGTGTACACATAGTTGCAAACATTTACTATCAAACTGTGCAAAACAACATAGACATGGAAACAAATTGAAGGCTACCTTTATATTTAAATTTTTTTTTCTTAGGATGATATCCCTCTGTCTTGTCTGAAAACCTGTAGACATGTTCATTTGATTGTAAAGAAATTGTAGCAGCTCGTCCCAAAGCTTGCCGCTGTATTTACACCCTCTGACTAAAGAAGGAGCTCAGAGTTCAGACTAAAGATTTAGTTTACTCCATCACTGAGGAGGAGGGGGTAGGGGGAGTTTGGAATTGGGCCATAAGTCTTGGGGGCTGCTGGGAGCTGCTGGGGAGGGGGGGGACAGCTGAAACCGGCTGCTGCTGCTGACTGAGCGCTCAGACTCCATGTTGTTTCTGATGTGCTGTGACTCACATATCTCCTCTCACACAGATCATCCAGCGCAGCACCGACAGTGAGTACGCTCTCACTCTGACAGTCTGCGCTTTCCAACGCTATTTTACCATATATTTGATGTTACTAACATGCTTCACCACCCCCCCTCCCCCTTTAGTGTCAGCTGTTTCTGTCAGTAGTCTTTGGCCCAATCCCTTGTCCACTCTGAAAGCCTCTAGAGGTAACTTTGCCGTCACATGGCTGCTAGGCTTTAACTGGTTTAAACGGTACAGTGCTTTGTGGGGAAATATCATGTAACCAAGACAGAATGGTTTTACAGCCTGATATGAATGTTTTCCAGGCTCTTGCCTTACCAGAAGATAGGTCGTTGTTAAATAATCAATTTATTATTTTGTCCAAACAGCATCATTAAGCTCCCATTAAGCTGGCTGTATAAGGTAGCTTATCATTTGCATACGAAGATACAAAAAGCAACAAAGCGATACAGGCATTTCAGCCTTTGCAGACCCTTTACATGCACACAATCCTATAGAACACACTACAGGAAAGGGAGAACCTAAAAAAGCACAATAAGACCTCTTTAACATTGTACCTTTTATAAAACGTTATTTTGCACGTTAAAATAAGATAGTATATCATATACATTGTAATTATTTAATACTTTATTTTAAATCCTCTTTGTGGTGCAGGTGCCTTGGGCTCGGGGGAGATGGTGCCGGCTGTGTCCGCAGACAGCAGCTCCACCAGCTCCACCAGCTTCACTCCTCTGGTGGTGCTGGAGCTCGCCTCCGACACCAAGCAGGAGGCCATCGCCTGGCTGCTGAGCAGGATCAGAGACCCTCAGCAGAATGGAGGTGTGTGTATTGTATTGGCGTTGTATTCATGTAGCGTTTACTGAGCCTTTACTGAGCCTGTCCTCTGTCCCAGGCGCTGAGCTGCTGGTGGAGCAGCTGGGCCTCGGAGACGGGGGTTCGGAGAAGGAGAACCCCAACCTGTTCCTGGTGGGGGCCAAGTGGCAGAGGCTGCTCTCTGGGGCGGAGGAGGTGGGCCTCTTCAAGGAGTTCAGTGATGGATCCATGAGAGGCTTCACCTGCGCCAACAAACACAACTTCAAACACTTCGAAGGTAAAGAGGCTGCATGGGGGCTTGTGCAGGACATCAGAATCAGAATTCCTTTATTTGTCCCGCAACGGGGAAATGTACATTATTACAACAGCAGGAGTATAGTGCAGAAAAAGAGAATAGACTAATATATTCAAAAATAACTAAGTATGCACACGTTATTAATCATAAAAAACACAATATGTAAAAAAACAAATAGCAGATAAGTACACCATGGTAAATAAAGTAGCAGTATATTTAAAAAAAAAAAAACATACATAAACCAGCTGTCATTTCTATAGTTGTTTCATAGTTATACATCGAATGTGATAGCAGCCTGATAACAGTGATGTAAGTATATATTGCACAATTATTTACAGATTTATGTAACAGTATGAAATGTGCAAAAGAGCAGTAGCAACCAGTAATAATAATCATAAAGAAAAACTTATTGCACAACATTGATAGTCATAGTCTTAAGTGAAATTGTGAAAGTAAAATGTGTGTGTGTCTCTGTCTCTGTCTCTGTCTCTGTCTCTGTCTCTCTCTCCAGGGGACGGGGACTCCTTCCTCAGTATGGCTGAGTGTCAGTACATCATCAAACATGAGCTGGACACACTCCGGGCCAAAGATGAGACTCATGTCCCAGGACACCCCCAGGCCAAGCTGTACCCTGGGAAATCTATCAGTGAGTCCTCCTACACTCTGTCTCTCTGTCAGGTGTCTAACTCACTGGGATACACACATGAGTTACACAGGGTACGATATCACCACACACAGGGAAGATATGTCTGTAAATACCATGATATGAGATTTCATCCTTATCGGTTAGTCTCCTGACAGTAAGTTCATTGTCAACCATTGTCATAATCAATAAATGATCTAAATAGTTTACAGAGCAAAAGGGATAAACACTGTTCCAGCTTCTCAACTTTGAGGATTTGCTACATTAAGCGCTTTGAGCACCAGGAAAAGCGCTTTATAAATGTAATGTATTATTATTATTATTATTATTATTATTATTATTATTATTGTTCTATTTATCTTTATTGAATATATCTGGGTTGTTAGAGGGTCAGGGTCCTTTGAAGACTTCCCCTCAGCCTCATAGTTTGCTGATATTCTAAAAGCTCAACCTCTAATGGTGAACTGGGAAAAGGGGAAGCCAGACCGTCAACATACAGTAGCAGAAAAAACAAAACGGAGGGCAGGGCAGGAAGTACTTCCTGTTATTATCTCCCTAAAAACCAGAGTTTGGTTTGATTTCAGATTTCTTTAAGAAATGGGGAGTTTGGACGAGATTCACAATGGAGCATGGCGTTATTACGGACCGTCTACACAGCAGCGTTAAAAAAATCTTGGAGGTGGGCGTATCTGAAGCTTGAGGATTTTTTGCGAGCAAGGCACGATCAACCAATCACATGAATCTCCCGCCCGCGACATACGAAGCAAAAAAGCCCGAAGTAAACTGGATATAAACTCCCCAAACAGGCGAAAACATACCACTGTCTCTGCCACCTCCCTCCATGCCTGGCTCCTCCGGTTTATATCCCGGTAGGTCTGGTCATAAAGCACCGGGTGATTGATTCTCTACCGCTAATTTCTCCTCCATTTTTTGGAATATGAGGAAATGACCTGCGGTATGTCTCTCCCAGCATACACGCGGTTTGATTGGCTAGAGCTTGAACTGTCAGATTTGCGTACACAGGATTTGATTGGCTGACGCTTCCACCTCAGCTTCAAAAGTTGAACATTGTTCAACTTTGAATCCTGAAAATCCTGAAAATCTCCGCTCGCCTGCCCACAATGCAGTTCGGCGAAAAGTGAGGGAAAGTGACGTCACCCCATTCAAAGTGAATGGGCAGAAGCGTTTCAAGATTTTTTTAACGCTGCTGTGTAGACGGTCCGTTACTGTGAATGCTTGTATCTCTATTGTTAATCCATCCGTTTGAAATACTTTCCCTTTCATTGACAAAATAGAAACTGTATTTAACTTTTTTAGGAATGTGAGAGACTTAATTTCCTTTTTAATGTCCTCAAAAGTTTTTGAAACGGTTTGGTGTTGAAAGGATGCTTTTCTCCTAGGCTTTGGCTACAAGAAGTGTGATGCCTCTAAGTGACAGCTGTTACACTTTTAACAGGGAAAGCCACGTTGTCAATTTAGAGCTGCAGAACAATCAGAGGGCAGGACAGGACCTGCTTTTATCTCACTTGTAAAAGCTACAGTTTGGATTGGTTTTAGATTTTTTTTTAAGAAAAAGGGGTCCTGGAGGGTTTTAAAATAAAAGGGTGCTTTGTGTTCAGCTGCAGGGGATAACAATCCTTTTACATGTATAGATTTGACATCTTAGGTTGTTCTGATGTTATCCGTATTGTATGGAATTACAGTTTTGACAAGTTGACAGTTATTTTAAATAAAGATTTTTTTTTTTATCCCTCTCAGTGGCAGTGTGGAAGCAATAAATATGCAAATCTAGTGAAATACTCCAAAAATAAGATAAGGAAGCAATGAAGTTGGAGGGGAGATAAGCTGACTCTATTTAGGGCCTTTATTTGACAAAATGTGTTTAAGCAGAATGTAATCATTTGTAACTAATGATGCAGTCCTTTAAATGAATGTTCTTGTATCGAGTCACTCTGTGAAAGACAATAGAGATGATTGCTGTTGTTATGCACTGTGCACAGCGTGTGTGTGTGTGTGTGTGTCTGGGTTCAGAGTCAGGGATAGAATGCAGCAGGGCATGTCACTCAAAAGTCAGTGTAACATTTTTCAAATATTTCCAACTTTGAGAAATTAAAGATTTCCCCTTCAAAGGCATATCCTCATCATTTGTATTGCCTCTCAACCCAGTAAAGACTCAATGATGACTTGGTCGCAACCTCTTAAAGTCTTGGTCATGACTTGGTCTCGGTTAAGGTGGTCTTGACTACAACACTGGCTGGCACTAAAGGGAATTATTTGCATAACATTGTCATAAAGAAAACATAGTAATTAGCAGGTAATCTGAAAAGTAGGTTTACCCATACGAGAAATCTGCTTTGGTGTAAACAGCAGTGGCGAACCGTCAGGGCCTTCAAGGTATTCAGAGAATACCCTGGAACACTCAAATAAAACAAACAAAAAAACAATTTAATTATATAAATAAAATGTATGTAAAATGAATAAATGAGAATGGTATCTGTGTTGTTGATCTGTAATATCACAGTGTTCCGTTGATTTGTTTGTCCTTCTCGGTCCATGCACTACGCATTTCAGTGGTTTTGTGTTAGAAAAAAAAAGCAACCAATCAGATATCTCTCTGGGTAGAATATCCTTCAACCAAGGTATTCTATATCCTTGATAGAATACCCTGGCCGTTGCACTGAATGAGAGCGTACCTTTGGATTGACAGTTTGATCAACCAATCATATATTGATTAGTAGCCAATGGGCGTATTCTTTCAGAGTTTCCCTCGGTTCCAGGGTACTCTAGAAGGCCCGCTAGTTAACTGGCTCGAGACCGAGGATCTAGATAAATGCCACGAAGCAATTCATATGCCGTTTTATAGTTTTTAATGTTGAAATGGCAAGTGCAACAGGTGAAGATGATTTTGTTGCGGAATTGTTGTGTGTACCCTTTTCAAGACGACAATTCAGTGAAAAGACGGACATTATAACGGCGGGGGTGTGTGTGTGTCTACAGAAGGTCCAGTTGTGATAGACACGGTTCGCCACTGGTAAATAGTGCATACATGGAGGAAGGAAAACCTTTTTTGTTTTTTCAAAGGAGCAAAACATTTTAATTTAAAGGGGACCTATCATGCAAAATGCACTTTTGTGCGTCTTTTATACATGAATATGTGTCCCCGGTGTTCCAGGGAACTCACCAAGTGTCAGAAAACACAACCCTCTCTATTTTCCTCCATACCCAAATCTCTAAAAAAGGGGCTGCAACGGATCTGATAAAAACTGATCCAGATTTGAACACTGTCCTGACGTCAGGACAGTGGCGCTACGGCTATTGGGCCAACTCCACCAATCAGGAGGAGACAGCCACGGCCATTGCCGTTCGAAAGCGCTGGAGACGCTGTAGTACATATGCCAGGCCTGTAGATGGTGCTGTTCTCACAGAATCTGCCCTTGCAAAAACAGGGCTAAAAAAGTGCAAATTGAGCGAAATGAGGCATGGCTAAAATGCATGATCTGTTTGGTATTTTGAAAAAAAAAAAGTATAAATATGCCTTATATAGGTATGGTCCTACACTATATTATTATAATATAGCATGATAGGTCCACTTTAAACTATTTTATAGACAATTGTAACAAATTTAAAATAAAGACAATATTTACACAAAATATAATTATACACAAAATAATGTTGTTATTTGTGTCCCAGTTCGCAGACTGCAGTCCAAGGGGGTCCTGATCCAAGTGTTTCCACTCCACGAGAAAGAGGAACTGAAGAGGCTGTCTTACTCCTGGTATCAGAAGGTCAAGTTGTCCTTTCAGCCTCTGGGTAAGTACAAGATGCATTGTATTCCCCTTTTATTTCTCTACACTTTATATTTATTTCCTGTAATATTCTCTATATCCCCTCTGCTTTTACCACTCTTATTTATTTATTGTGTCTATGTTTTACTGCAGTGAGAGTTGCCAAGGAAATTTCGTTGTACTTTGTATGATGACAAATAAAACCTTCCTCCCTGCTACTTTTCCTCTTTCTCTCCCCAGATGACATCAGACGCTACTATGGTGAGGGTCAGGCGCTCTACTTTGGCTTCCTGGAGTACTTCACCTTCGCCCTGGTGCCTATGGCTCTCATTGGCGTGCCTTACTACCTGTTTGACTGGGAGAACTACGACAAATACGTCGTCTTCGCTGTGTTCAACTTGGTCTGGTGCACCGTTATCCTGGAGGTACGGACCGTGACTCAATCTACTTATAAGCAGGGTTTGGAGGGTTACTTTACAAATGCTTTACAAATGTTGTGTATCCTGTAAGACAACAGAACAATGTGACCTTGAAATGATTTAATTGATAGGAAAACCTGCCATTCATTCAGCTTATCCAGGTAGCAGTCTATACACCAACAATGAAACACATGTGCACATACTACAGTTTAGAAAAGCAGAAATAAAATCAGAGCTGACAGAAAATGCTCAGTTTTTGTTTAATACACACAGTTCAGCTCACACACTATTTAAGTGGTATATATAGTATAGGTTCACCTACTGAATTAAAAACAGAACAAATGAAGCAAAGAAAGTGAAAACCATAAAGCAGATTCAGGCAGTAGGCGTATAGATTCACACTGAAAGTATCATCCTACAGAACAGTACAGCTGACAGAGAAGAGATAACATCTGATCCTTTTACAACAAACTCTATATGCTCATTTTAGGTTTTAAGTAAAAGCACATATAGTGGCTAATGTCCCATTTTAGAATCATTTTATTAAATCACTGGATTATTCATCAAGGCTGGTAGAAGTGGAGCTAGTTGTAATCACTTTGTATAATACCGCTGGATATTTTAACCTAATTATTCATGTATTCCTTAGTTTATTTATATTTTATATTAGCTAATAATCAGAATCTGTATACAGTAACTACTAATTCATTTGTTCAAATAAAGGTAGATATTGTCTTCCAAATCGGAGTGGAGTAGCAGTATACTGTAGCATAAAAAGGAAAAACACAAGTTAAGTACCCCAAAATCGTACTTAAGTACAGTTCTTGAGTACATGTACTTCGCTACATTATACCACTGGTAATCCATTACTTCTTAAGACTGCCCAAGAAATATAAAAAGTAGTGACCATGCAGCCAGAAGAATGAAATGAGTAAACTCACTGTAGTCTATATGAAAGATGAAAGCTGAGTACCCCTCTCCTCCTTCAGTTATGGAAGCGCTTCAGCACGTCTCTAGCCTACAGCTGGGGCACGCTGAGCAGGAAGAAGGCCTTTGAAGAGCCGCGGCCCGGGTTCCACGGCGTGCTGGGCTTCAACCCGGTGACGGGCCGCGAGGAGCCCCTCGACTCCAACACCAAGAGGCAGCTGCGCGTCTACCTGGTGTCGCTGCCCTTCGTGCTGCTCTGCCTCTACCTGTCGCTCTACGTCATGATGATCTACTTTCTGATGGAGGGCTGGGTGCTGTCCGTCCACGACGAGGAGCCCACCTTCTGGACGGGGGTCCTGCTGTTCATCCCCAGTATTATCTATGCTGTCGTCATAGAGATCATGAACCTGGTCTACAGATATGCTGCTGAGTTCCTCACTGAGTGGGGTGAGTAGCAGTCATTGGAACAACCATTTCTACAGTAGTGCTGTATTTATCCCGGTGAACTTTTTTTATATTTTTTTAGCAGAAGGTCAATCAACATACGTATATTCTGATAATTGATAACCCCACCTTCTTAAAAGCTGAGTGAGGCTTTGGACTCACATTTAATATATATATATGACTCCTTTGTTTTTCTGTAACATAGCGACATCACTACGTCACACTTGCTTTTCTATTGGCTAGCGCTCCTACACATTGTACGTGATATATATATATATATATATATACAAATATACTTATGTTTCATTGGTTTAACACACACGTTTTTTTTCACATTGACTTGCATTACGACAAGTATCATGACAATTTGCTACAGTTGCAATAAGAATGTGGGAACCTTTTTATGGTGATGGTAACACATTCATAAACTTCACATTAGGAAACATTTTGATGATGTTTCTACTCCTCTGGATAGAGAACCACAGGCTGGAGTCTTCCTATCAGAATCAGCTGGTCCTCAAAGTATTAGTCGTGAGTATATTAAATACAAACGTTGCCTGTTTGCTCTTTCAGTGATCAAAGTGCAGCTTCTCATCTCCTCACTCTTTTTTCCCCGTAGTTCAACTTCTTCAACTGCTTCGCCTCGCTCTTCTACATCGCCTTCGCGATGCAAGACATGGCGCTGCTCAGGCAGGTAGGCCAAATCCCTTTTATTCTTTCAGCTTGTTTTATTCTTAATAACTTCTTTACTCCTTCCTTCATTCTTTTTTAATCAACCTCGCCAGCATTCCTCCCGGTTCATCCAATATTTGTCTTCCTTGTTTAGCCTTCCGTCTCCTCCTCTGGTCTCAGCTCTGCCTTGTAAGATGCGAGAAAGAGAAAAGAGGACAGAGGAGTTTGGAAATGTGATATCCTCCCTCACTCGAGGGTCACTTATAAACAAAGTCCTTTACTCATGCCTAGTCAAACCCTTATCACCTGTCACTGGACTGCCCTCAAGTGACCCCGTATATCTTATTCAGTAGAACTAGAAGCCATATACTGAGGTTCGGTCCCTTTACAGAGGACCTGGGTTGGAATCTGCCCTGGGACCAAGTGTCATGCCCTCTGTCTTCCCCTTTCAACTCTGTCTGTTCAATACAGGCACTTAAGTCTTTACATAATAATACAAACATATTCAACTAATAATTGTTTGTTTAATAGATCTGTAATGATCTTATTACAGCTTGATTTTTGAGTTTCATATGCACTGTATTGGATGCTGTAATATCATTTCTTCCACAGAAAACACATTTGACCAAAATATAAAAGACTTATTAGCCATATTCACTGTTTTAATATATCTCCTCTACCAATAAACTGGATAAGGGACTTTCTATGATTGTTTATGATTGAGCATTGACACGGGTGTAGTGATAACACTTCCCAGAGCCTCTCTCCTTGACTCCTTTTTCTGCATTTAAGGTATTAAGATGTTCTTCAACATGAAGTGTGTTGATCGATATCCGGGTCAAGGAGAGAGGAGTCAAGGAGGGTCATTGGGATTTACCCATTGTTACTTTCTACCTTCTTCGTCCTCACCTACTTTAATTGAATATTGTTTTTTCCCCCTGAACCCCCTGCTCTCTATGTGTGCAGAGTCTGGCCACATTGTTGATCACCAGTCAGATCCTGAATCAGTTCATGGAGGCCTTCCTGCCCTACTGGCTCCAGAGGAGACGCAACAAGAAGATGATGCGTAAGGTCCAGAAGAGAAAAGCCGTGGCTGCGGCAGAGCTGCCTCTGGCTGAGCAGGTCCGGCTGGAGGCTGACATGAGCACCTACTTGGTAGGAGATCTGGTCCATTTCTCTGTCAGCTTATTGTACTTCAGAGTCCTCTAACCTGTGTGTGCTTCCCTCTCCTTTAGGGCACCTTCGACGACTACCTGGAGCTGTTCCTGCTGTTTGGATACGTCAGTCTGTTCTCCTGCGTCTACCCTCTGGCTGCTGTGCTGGTGGTGCTGAACAACATCACAGAGGTGTACTCTGATGCCTTCAAGATGTGCTGCGTGTTCAAACGGCCCTTCTCTGAGCCGGCAGCCAACATCGGAGTCTGGCAGGTGAGACAGAGCTAGTTTCTCTGGGAACTACTAGGTCAGATTATTTTGAGCGGAGGTTACAGACCACGGGTTAAAATCTGATGGAACAGCCTAGAGCAACAACTAACACACTAACTGTTGTTGCTGTGGTTCACCTCTGTCTGACATGTGATGGGAGCAGTGTTTGGGGTAACAAAGTTATGCAGTTAACTTTGTTGTTGAAAACAGAACACGCTCATTTCAAATTCCAGAAATTAGTTTATTAAATGACGCTTTAAAGCACATCGCATGCTTCATTTGAGAATGCATCAGTAGCCTTCAGTTCCTCTGTCTTTAAGAGAGAAACTCCCTGTATCAACTCCATCTTTCATTAGAAACGTTATGAATTCCCTGTCACAGTATTGGGCTGTAGCAAATAGCTAAAATCACTTATGAATATGTTCCCTGCAGTCAAAAGAAAATGTTCTCCAGCTTTTTGCAAGTAGCCGTATCCACGGGATTAGGGGTAGGCGATATGGCCAAATCATGTCATTTTATTTCACCGTATTGGTTATTATATCACAATACATTCATTGTCTAATTGTTCTGTCAAAAAGAAGAAATGGAGTAATATTTCCCATGACAAACTTCATCCCATTTGTAATATAAAACAATATCAAAATGTTAATTGTAGATGAATACGGTGGACATAATGCTACCATCGCACAGGTTGTATCTTCAAATTGTAAAATGTTGAAAGCAGTTACTGACTGTTATTGTGTCTCTGTGTGTGTCCCTGTGTGTTTCCCTGTGTGTCTCCTTCTGTGTGTCCCTGTCTGTTTCCCTGTGTGTCCCTGTCTGTTTCCCTGTGTGTCCCTGTCTATGTCCCTGTGTGTCCTTCTGTGTTTCCTTGTGTGTGTGTGTGTGTGTGTGTCTGTGTGTGTCCCTGTGTGTGTCCCTGTGTGTGTCCCTGTCCCTGTGTGTGTCCCTGTGTGTGTGTCTGTGTGTTTCCCTGTGTGTGCGTCTGTGTGTGTCTGTGTGTGTCTGTCTGTGTGTGTGTGTGTCTGTGTGTGTGCAGCTAGCCTTTGAGGCTATGAGCGTGATCGCCGTGGTGACCAACTGCTCTCTGATCGGCATGTCTCCACAAGTCAAGGCTTACTTCCCCGAGTCAGAGATGCAGCTCATACTGTGGACGGTGGCTATTGAGGTAATTCATGTACACACTCACACACAAAGACAACCCCCCCCCCCTGATCTAATACAGATTTACAGATTGTTTGTGTGAATGCAGAATCTGTAGCAACGGGAAAACATTTTAAATTCAGTTTGTGGTCCAAATAGCTTTGACAAGTAACGTTTGAGTCAGAGACAGACATAGACAGACAGTTACGGGGAGAAAGAGGAACGTGAACAAAATCACATCTGAGTTTTGGTTTGATTTTCTCAGGTTCGTCTAGTGTCAAAGTCCAGTAACCAATCACTACAGTACATATAGTCCCTAGGCAGAGATTAGGGCAGTTTTGCAAACACAGTTTGTCATACCCATAGAGGATCATGGGAAAGAGATCCATGGATTAGTAACCATGAATTGAAGTTCCAAAACAGAGGACATTCATCTTTGTAATTTCTTTCACTATTCCACTGCAGCCTTTGTCTCAGTTCTGTGAATAAAATATGGTCTGTCTGCACCTTCACAGCCAGGCAGAACACATGTTTGTAAAACCACAAAACATGAAGCTACAGACTGTAGATATCACCAACACGCTGCTTTATGTGAGCTGATTTTTGCTCACCAGGTGGAGCCAGAGTCCAAGCTAGAGCCCCCCCAATGCACTGACGAGGGTGCATCCCAATTCTCTAATTTGATATTTCACTTGAACCAGAAGTCAATCTTGTGCACATCTTGAAAACTGTCCCAAAGTTCTTATATCGGATTAAGATCTCACTTTCATAAAGCAGAACAAAACACAATATACTATTATATTATTGGTGTTTGTTTCAGAAACAGAATTTATGTCAATGACTTATTTTTGGTAACTTTGGCCCAAGTGACATCACAGTTTTGCTGCAGCACTATGCCCCCGCACAAAACAGCCTACTGACTGTCTGACCGATTGACTTACTTTTTTTTTACACATCTTAACCTTCCTGCAGTCCTTCAGAGAGAACTTATCAGTGCTTAACAAGCTCCTGAGGGAGGATCCTTCCAACCATCTGGTTATTGTCTCAGACAATAACTAAAATAAAGTCATACTGTACCTCTGTGTACGGAGGCAGAAACTGGGTCATATTGATCATCTGAAGGTTGGATTGAGTGTGTAGTCTGCACACAGAGCTGAGATCATCTCCACTGTGTATGCAGGAGTGTTTCACTGTGAGTACTTCTTCCCCTCCAGCGTCTTTGCGGATACCATTATGTTTAATTAAACCTTTCACTGGTGAGAGATACCCTCATTTGTTTTTCTGTTCCTACTGTAGTAATGATAGTTTACTGTATAAGAGTGTCTGTCTCTATCATACTTTATGACGTCCATCCACTATGTGTCCATACATTTCATTCACATCCACTAACGTAAAGCTCATGGTGGTGCTAGAGAAGAGTCCGGTGACAACACGTCTCACTTCCAATTTGCATTTATACAGAAACATTGGTCAGAAAGACAGATGGAATAAAATATTAGCTAAATAAAGCAGGTGATCTTCTTCACTATACGTTTGTGACACGCTAACCTCTGATCCAGGGCTCTTTGGGGCTTTTCCCTTTCCTCTAGTGTGTTCTATAGGATTGTGTGCATGTAAATGGTCTGCAAAGGCTAAAATCCCTGTGTTCCCTCCAGAGGGAGTTTCTCTCCCACACTCTCCCTCCTTGCCTGAAACGCCTCCATTGGACTCCGTTGTTTAGTTCCGTAACATCACTATGTAACACTCGCGCATCTATTGGCTAGTGCTCCAACACATTGTACATGATAAGCTAAGGGGAGGGACACCCCTAAGCAGTTGACCAATCACAACAGAGTCGGCCAGCTAACCAATCAGAGCAGACTGTGCTCTGGTTTCAGACAGAGAGTGAAAAGAGGTGCTGCAGCACAGGCAGTATGAGAAAAATAAAGAGCTTTTTGAACATTAGAGCATGGAGACATGTCACAGTAGAGACACATAGTACAAATATGAACCTGGACATTACTAAAGAAGAGGTGATTTCTTGTTGATTTTAATCCCAGCCAAGGAGATGCTAGGAACTCTTGTGCTAACGGTTAGCATGCTACCTCTCATACTACATCCCCCGAACATGACTTCATAAAGCAATAGACGGTGGTGATGTTTCCTGTTTGGCCTTTACTCTGCCTTTTCTCTGTCAGCCATCCATCCTGTCCATGCACACGGGTGTATTTCTATAGTAAAGAGCTCAGGCCTGTGACAGACGGCTCAGATCAGAGTGGAGATAGGAGGAGTGGAAAAAGAGAGAGCAAAGGAAATGATGGCGGTTGGAGATGGAGAAACAGTAGGGGCGGGAAGCAATGAGGAGGAGAGGAAGATGGATGTGAGAGGGAGAGAAACGCTGATTGTACATCAGAGCACGTTCCTCCTGTTAGCATCCAGAACGTTCCCTGGGATAGAGCGAGCAGGCTATTAAAGAGAGTGGAAAACAGAAGTAATCAGAGGCAGGCTGTATAATGTTTTCTGTACCACGGGAGAGCCACACACAGATGTGCATTATTGACACAACATCCAATATATTGCCATAAGGGACATTTTCTATCTACAGCCAGCTAGTTTATATACATGGTTTGTTCTTTCTCTCACAGTCATTTATGGGGGGGGGGGGGGGGGTCAGCACCTTTTGGCTTTCCAGCAGTGGAGCGATGATACCTGGGTAATTACATAAAGGGGTTTACACACATCAGTGAGCAGTAACCAGGCAACCAGAGAGGACTTTCTCCTGGTCTAAGGGGGAGCTGTGATAATAAGCCTTGACTCCCAAATATATTTTAAAGGATATATTTTTGATATATTGATCTCCCCATTTAGTGGAACTTCTAATTGTATTATTCATGGTCAGTGATATATAAATGTTTATTGTCGTTTGTGTATCCAGTATCCTGATAGCAGTCCTCATTATGAGTAGCTTCTTTGAGGTAAACACTCAGTAATTAGATCCATTGTTTAAATTAACATATTGATTTGTGCTGTTTAACAGAACTGCATTCTATTACAATGAACTCTCAGTTAAAGGCTCCTATTATTCAAATGTTCAGGTTCATATTTGTATTTTGTGTCTCTACTGTGACATGTTTCCATGCTTTAATGTTCAAAAAGCTAGCATATCACATACAATGTGTTGTTGCACTAGCCAATAGAAGCGCAAACCTTTTTAACCTCTAATAAACATGTATTTGAGATTGCTTTCACCTCATGTTATAAAGTAATAATTCATCTTTTTAGTTTGTATAATTACAACGTGTCGTGTCTCTCAGTCTGGCATGACTCTGCATTGCCAACAGCTGTACATGCGTGTGAGAAGCTTTAGGCTCATTCATTGAAATACATTGGAGTTTGGCAGGTTTAAAATGAATCTTTTGTAACTAGAAAGACTGCTGCGTGTTAAGATGTGTCCTTGTGTACACCAGGCCAGCTTTGTAAATACTGATATAGAAGATGCAACATAACTGAGTTTCTGTTTTTGTGGTTCTAGCACGGGCTGTTGGCCTTCAAGTTCATCCTGTCCTTCATCATCCCAGACGTCCCCAAACACATCCAGATCAAGCTGTCCCGTCTGGAGTTCGAATCCCTGGAGGCGCTCAAGAAAAAGGTAAAAACCTGACAGCAAGTCTCAGTCACTCAACAACAACAGTTAACAGCAGACAATACATCAATTGCAGATAAAAGAAAAATATGGCACCATTAGACAACTGCAGCCTCCCCATTTTTAGAATGACATGAAGTCCATTCGTATATTTTAACTGCAGAACTGTGTGCCATCTTGCAGTGGATACTTTATTTGGTATGGGAGTTACCAGCACTACATAACATTTTATTCATTGACCACATAATGAAGGGAAACCAGACGTTTTCTATTTAAAGTGAATCTTAGTTTCATCATGACCTCCTTGGTCCTTTGTAGCCTATAAAAGAGGAAGAGCTTAAAAGAGGTAATCGTTTGAGGCCTGTTGTGTAAATTACAATAAAACCTGCATTCGTGCATAGACACATGGCCTGAATTATATTAATTACAAGTAAACCATGACACAACTGTCATTTCTGGTGTCATTGTCACCCAGCATAACAAATGTGTTTGCGACCCATAGGTGCAGGAGACAGCAGAAAGACTTGGCCCGTATCTCATTTCTGGGATTTCCCCTCCTCGACTCCTATCCTCGTGTCTTAGTCCCGCCCACAGGAGATGCGAGCGGAGGAGCCGAGGAGAGAGGAGGGGAAGCAGCAGGCGGTTAGAGAAATGAGAACTCCTCTCCTCTGGGCGGTCATTTTAAAGAGACGTCCATTAATGATGACAGGAGGCACAGCATTCTGTCTGATGGACAGATGTGTTCATGACCACTTATATATTTACTTTTAATTCATTCACAGTGCGGTATAATGAGACAATAACAGGCTACAGATGCGGACCCGCACGCACGCACGCACCCACGCACGCACGCACGCACGCACGCACGCACGCACGCACGCACGCACGCACGCACCCACGCACGCACGCACCCACGCACGCACGCACGCACGCACGCACGCACGCACATACATATATATGTATATATTTATAGAAATATATGTATATATTTATAGAAATATATATATATACAATTTCAGAATCAAACACTCTCAAAATAACGTAACACTATCAGAGACTGGATATATCGACTCTTTGTTTGTAGATATCTACTAAACTACAGCATACAAATAAAGCATGGGCGTAGGAAGCATCCTCAATGTGGGTGGGACAATTTGACAGGGGGTGTGGGCAGGTGGTGGACCTCACCTCCTCTAGGGGGGTCCGGGGGCATGCTCACCCGAGAAGATGATTTTTTTAATATTGAAGTTAAAAGCATCAATCTGCTGCACTTTGAGAGCAACATGAGGGACTAAATCTATGGATACATCTCTCAACACCCATGTGAAACAGAACTGTAAACAGATTGACTTTTTCTTTATGCATATTTTACAAATCACTCTCCTTTTAACCTGTATTTTTGTGTTACTGTCCTATAATATACCTGTTATTCTCTTGTTTTCTATAACTATAATGATCATATAAAGGTGTGCCTTGGAAATACTTGTTTACATAAATGATTACCAAACCGTTTGAGACCCACTACTTAGACTAAAGTGAACTATCTAAACCCTCAGAGAGTCCTTTACCTCACTGAGCTGTAGTTATCAGCCTCTCAGAGAGTCCTTTACCTCACTGAGCTGTAGTTATCAGCCTCTCAGTCTGACAGGAGAGGACTCTCCCTCCACCTCTTTAATAACAGCGCCTTATATCCGGGTGCTAGTGGAGCACGCTCGTGAACTGTTAGCGCCGGAGCCTCGCAGCGTGGAAACTGTGGCGCGCATCATTTTACAACTAAAGACACAGTTACACAAAAGACGCAGCATGTGTACGGCTCATGTGCACGGCTCTGAGAATCTGCCTTGGTACAAAGTAGCAGTGAAAACATGGTACGGAATTTAATTGATTTGGGCATTCTCACAATAAGCAAGTGGAATGGATTTGATAATGAAGCACTGACAGCGCTCTACAACGAGTTGCGAGTGGATAGACCAATTCACGGACTTTCCGCATAGTAAAAGTGGGGGGGTCTAAACTAATCATTTTAAAAGGTGGGGGGGACTTGTCCCACCCTCATATAATGGCTGCGACGCCCATGAAATAAAGAGAGTAATGTAGGCCTGTTATACTGAGTGATATATATCATACACACTGCTCTGCTTTCTGCACGGACCTCACAGCTGTTCTCACTGTAAACATCGCGTCGCGATGAAAGCAGTTAATAAAATAATATCCAGGGGATGCATGCAGAGCTGTCATTGGCTGAGATCAGTCCGGCCGTGCGTCACGACTCTTTGAAACATCTCTGTGGCCGGAAATGCATCCACGGAGGAGCCGTGGAGGACCGTGGAGGACCCATCAGTGTCTCCTCGGTTAGAGCTCCTCCAGAGAGCCTCCTCGGCGCTCGTTCCTCGGTCCTCGATGTGCATTTCGAGAAATTAGATGTCCTTCAACATGGCGCGCTGAAATTCATTTCCGGGTCACTACCGGAGGATTCGAGGAGTCGAGGAGGGGGAATCCCAGAAATGAGATACGGCCATGGTGCCACTGACCAACAACAATTGTATGTAAAGTCAATGGTGTAGCATTTTCCTGCTAATTTCCAGCGTATTATTCAGATAGTGAGATGTGCCTAAAAAATTCTGTAGTGCTCAAACCGAGCAGAAAATCTAAAAACTGAGAGGGCCGCAGACTTGTGTTATAGGCAGCACACCTTCTGTGTCACACACTTCCTGTGTCACACACTTCCTGTGTCACACACTTCCTGTGTCACACACTACCTGTCACACACTTCCCCCACATATGTGGTTTTCAATAAAATGTATCGTGATCATTCCATGAGTGTAATAGTGGCGGTGTTCTCTTCCGGAGGCTTCTCTAGGCTCTTTTGATCCGAGCCCCTCATGGGTCGCATCAGGAAGCAATACAATGTTCATGCTTATACAATAGTACAATAAGAGTCCAGTGGTGGCTGCAAAGGATCCCATAGACAGGCCCTGAATGCACCTTAGACCAGGTGCTATAGATGGTTTACAAAGGGCTGACAGGGTTCTTAGGACTCGCTAACACCATAGAGCCAGGCATCATCATCCCAATGTGTTCACTTTGATGGGCTGTCTTCTGAGTGGTTGAACATTGCTAATGGTGTTCCTCAAGGTTCTGTTTTAGGTCCACTTTTATTCTCCATCTACATCAATAGTTTAGGTGAAAATGTGGATGAAGCTACTTTACATTTTTATGCGGATGATACCGTGATGTATTGTGCAGGTCCCTCGATTAAGGAGGCGGTTGTTAAATTACAGGCTGTTTTTAACATTATTCAGACTCAGCTCGCTGAGCTTAAGCTTCTTTTAAATGTTGAGAAAACCAAGGTAATGCTCTTTTCTAAAGCTAAAAAGACTCCAGAGACTGCTTTGGATATTTTGACTATGCAAGGACAAGTACTCCAAGTGGTTACCTGTTATAAATACCTTGGTATCTGGCTTGATGATTGTCTTACTTTTAAACTTCAGGTCATTAATCTGCTTAAAAAGCTGAGGGTTAGATTAGGTTTCTTTTTCAGAAACAAGTCCTGTTTCTCTTTTGAAGCCAGGAAAAGGCTCTGTGACCTTTTTACCTGTGCTGTACTATGGTGATTTGATCTATATGAATGCACCTGCCCATTGCCTGGAAAGGTTAGATGCCGCCTATCACAGTGCTCTGAGATTTGTTACTAACTGTAAAGCACTTACTCATCACTGTACCCTGTATGCCAAGGCAGGTCTGCCTTCACTTACTGTACGGAGGCTCAGTCATTGGTACATGTTCATCTACAAAGCCATGCTGGGTAAACTACCTTCTTATATCTGCTCCTTGATCTCACGGAGAGTGGCAAGTAGCTATTGCCTGAGATCCCAGGATGTGTTTTTATCACATGTGCCAAGTGCTAGGACTGTTTTAGGTACTAAAGCTTTTATGTGCGCTGCTCCTCTGGCTTGGAACACTATGCAAAACAAATTGAAACTGAGCATTTTGATTCCCTTGCATCATTTTAAAGCGCGGCTGGATGAAATGTTATTAGATACCTGTCACTGTGAATAGGTTGCTAATTTATACCCCTGTAATTATGTTGTGATGTTCTTTTGTTCTGTTGTTTTTATGTGTAACCAATGTACCGCAGGTCTCCCTTGAAAAAGAGATCGTTGATCTCAATGGGATTTTTAACCTGGTTAAATAAAGGCTACAAACAAACAAACAATCATCATCATCATCACAGCTGGCCCCCTCCTCACTGAGTTGATGCACACCTGTGAACACATTATCAGCATTGTTTTCTTCTTCCACCATTTTGGAGCCAGACTCGAAGGGTCCCACTCGCGGTGAAGATGTAGCAAGCTGATTGGCTGATGGTGAAGTGCACTTGCTGGAGTGTTTGGTTTAAACCATGTCCTGGATGTAGGAAGGGTCTGATCCAATGACAGCACAGTAGGCCAGTACCATGTCTGCAGCATCCTGAATTAGCTGCAGAGGTCGGATGGGACTTGCAGGTAGACCAGCCAGGAGGGAGTTACAGTAGTGAAGGCGTGAGACGACCACAGCCTGGTACACATAGCAGGACAAAGTTGATACTCCGAATGTCATTTAAAGAACCTATATGGAAAAAGAAAAAAGTCCTTACCTATGTCAGGTCAAGTGTTTTATCAATGTTATTCAAGCAAGTCCTCATATTTGCAAGTCATGTGACTGAGTGTCAAACTGTAGTAAACTCCATTAACCCCTACTTTAAGATCACATATGCATACCATTTTATGCTAATGCTCATAGAACAAATTGCCCTGGCCTAGTGTACTTTGTACCCTGCACATGTTTCCGTCATGTTTTGCTGTTTTTAACCTTTTAAGAATATTTTAATTCATTTTAAGGTGTCCTTGAGTGTCGGTAAAGCAGCCTCAAAATAAAACATTTTTTTTAGTATTATTTGTTATTATGATACAGTGATTTACTCAAACACGCATTAGGACAGACACTGTCATAACTCCTCATAGTGGAGATGTTATGCATGTCCATTAAACATGCTCGTCCATAGCTCCATTTAGCATTGGCCACGGGCCTGATTCATGTCCCAGAGCACTTTGTGGAAAAATAATGCTGTGCCTTCTTTAATAGTATTGATATGGCTCCACAGTAAAGCATTAGCTGGCTCGGCACCGCAGCCATTTGTTTTGGGGGATGGGGGGGTCTCTGCTGCTGCACACTCTGTAGCCATGTTACAGCTGTGACTCTTTACACACCGGCTCCCATCCCCAGTTCACATGTTTCTGATAGAGTGAAGCACTGTTGGTCTCTCCTCACTGTTCTGTGCTCTCTTGGTTCTGCAGAGGCAGCTCTATGTAGGGTAAGTAGCTTTGAAGACTTCACTGTTAATCACTCATCTAATATCCTAACGGTTTGCTCGTGGATCTGATTTAACATGATGATTTGGAATATTGAGCACCATCACCTTTCCCATGCTGATAACAGGATTACTGACAGACAGCATGAATCACATGTTCTGTGGAACTCACTCACCCTCACATCCGTGTCTTCTTGCTCGTAGTGTTGCAGTGAAATGAAGGTAATAACTCTTTAAGGCCAGCCTGGTGAGTGGTGCTCCAGTGTCAGCTGTTTCCCGCCTCACACAGACTGCTCCCAGTGGTTGTGGTTGCAGGTGCTGGGTAAACTGGCATCCCCCCCTAGGTACATTGGGCATTTGCACAGCTACCAAGTGGTTTCGGGAACAATCTGAAACATTGTATCATTCACATTGAAACCCCCTTTAGGCCAGCACAACTTCCCTAAACAGATATTGACACACATAAACGCTCTGAGCATCCTTTTTGAAGCCTCCATGTTTCTAAATTACGACGGAAAGCTGAGAACACACAAGTCCAAGGAAACACTTCCCAACTGAGGAACACTGCCTCCGTCACACTGCCTCCGTCACACTGCCTCCGTCCCACTGCCTCCGTCACACTGCCTCCGTCACACTGCCTCTGTCCCACTGCCTCGTCACACTGCCTCCGTCACACTGCCTCTGTCCCACTGCCTCGTCACACTGCCTCCGTCACACTGCCTCCGTCACACTGCTCCGTCACAAGGCCTCCGTCACACTGCCTCCGTCACACTGCCCCGTCACACTGCCTCCGTCACACTGCCTCCGTCACACTGCCTCCGTCACACTGCCTCCGTCAGCCTCCGTCACACGGCCTCCGTCACACTGCTCAGTCACACTGCTCCGTCACACTGCTCCGTCACACTGCTCTGTCACACTGCTCCGTCACACTGCCTCCGTCACACTGCCTCCGTCACACTGCTCCGTCACACTGCCTCCGTCACACTGCTCTGTCACACTGCTCCGTCACACTGCTCCGTCACACTGCCTCCGTCACACTGCCTCCGTCACACTGCTCCGTCACACTGCTCCGTCACACTGCTCCGTCACACTGCTGCTTGCGGTCGAAAAGTCCGTTTTGCTTAGGAACCTTCCTAACGGAGTGAAATGACCCGGAAGTACCTCAGTGGCAGCCATGATAAGTGCCGTTCGAATTCTCTAGATCTATAGATTGTTGCTATAATGCAGGGCTATTCAATTGCATTTCAAAGAGGTCCAGTAAGAGAACATTTCATTAAATGCTCTGTTGTCACGGTCTACCTTTCTCTTTTTTGAGCACGCCATTTGAAATGACTCACTGCTGTTTCTCTCCTCTTGTCTCGTCTCTGTGTGTGTGTTTGAATCTATCGTGCTGACTCACTGACTGCACCGATTTGATTGGCTGAGTAGCGTCACCTCCTTAAAACATTAAACAATAACTTTTTAAAACCTTTTTATATTTATGTTTTAAATTTAATTTTTTTTTTTTTTTTAACATTTTCAACATCGTGGATAAATCCTTATACTGTATGCTCCCGGCAACACACTGAACGTCAACTTTGCCTCCTTATTACGCAGCATCCACACGGCGGCGTCCGTTGAAGCTTGCCGGTGGGCGTGTCTGAAACTCGACCAACAACCAATCACATGAATCTCCCGCCCCGGACACACAAGCACGCGGTTTGATTGGCTAGAGCTTGTACTGGCATATGATTTGATTGGCTGACGCTTCCGTCGAAGCTTCAAAAGTTGAACGACGCGAGCAAAGCAAAGCGACGGAACCACAATGCAGTTTGGCAAAGCGTGACGGAGGTTTCAAACTTCCTTTATAACCTCCTTTAGCTTAGGAACCACTGGACCTCCCTTTACGAAAGGAGAGGAGAAAATGCTGCCCCACAATGCCTTGGGCCGCAGCATTTGCCGTCACACAACAGTCGGCCGTTCACGGAAACAACCGATTATGACCGAGAAATGATATCATGAAAGTTACGGTGCTTATTAAGCATTTTAAAACGTATGTGGTAACTTGCCAAACTGCTTTGTTTTGAACGTTCATCAGTATTATAATCAAAAAGAGAAATATGAACGTTAGTTTTTACTGAAATCATCAAATAAAGTCAACATTTCACAGTCTTTACTGAGCTGTGTGGGGTTTGTTCAACTTTAAAAAGATGTTTGAATGGTGATATACACAGTGATAGATGTTAAGGACTAACGTTTATAATAAATACATTTGTATTGATTTTAAGATCTTTTCATAGTTCATACAATCATACACATTGGGATCATTTAGTGGGAATGCTGACACAGCATTCCCACTAATGCTATCTGTGAAATTCCTTATTATTCCGCCGGGTTATTTTGCGCCTCTTCTTCTCCCACATTGAACATCGCAGAAACTCTGTTCAAACATCAAAACGTTCAGCTCGGTCGGGAATCGATGGCTATTACTTTTATCATTCATAACTTTCATAATTCCAGAGATACATCCCATAATACATCCCATTTTTAACATGGAAGTCAATGGAGAAACTCTTCAGACTTCAACAATCTTCATGCAACTTCAACTGCTAACTGCTCCTTCTTCAACTGCTAACTGCTCCTTCATACTTTCACTCAGAAACCTCATTCCAACTTTAAAATGTTACACATCTTTCTGACATTATTCGTGTAACACAACTTTTAAATCTGATTCTTACTTTTAGAGATATTAAACATTGTTCAGACCTTGGTAAAGAGGCCTTCTTTAGATTTTAGAGTGCGTGATGTCACAGCTAGAGTGGAGTACAGATTTAATTTTGCCTTCATATTTTCTTTTAAACCTGCCATAATTCCCAAACCCTACATTCCTGAGACATAATTTTTCATGACAAACGTAGGAAAACATCTCATAGCTTGAAAGATAAAAAAGAATTAAGCAAAATAATTAAACAAAATGCCTCTTGAGGGCATGAAGTGACAAAAACTTTCAACATGTCTCCATTAAACCCCATTGTAAGTTCAGCCTCACCTTTCCCCACCACAGCAGCCACACACCTTTAGTTAATCTGCCAAAAAGGCCACATTATTAACCCGAAAGTACACAAAAAGTACACTTCAGATGCTCAAGTTCTTTGACATGCTTCATGCTTTCAAATTTCACCAATATCTGTTACGGTTCTTCAACAAAACGTTCACATGTAAGAGGTTTATCTCTCATTCAGAACAATGAAAATGCTCTCCTCTCACTGATCACCATGGAAACCTTTGATCTCTGGACACGTCGTTAGCTCAAATATAAACACCTTTGTCATGGAACACGATGATGTCATAACTCCAACTGACATGCTCAGAGCAGCAGACTTCAGATAATGGTTAAAACACAGCTCTACATCAAATCTGATGTTACGTAATGTACGCATCCCTCGCCATGAAACACGGTTTTCTCATAACTTCAGTGAAAATGCTCCAAACGGCCCAAAACTTCACAGGTTTGGTAACGATGCAGCCATCAACGCATCTAAGCGTATTATGGGATGTCATCAAATGCCATTGGCATGGCGACAGATCATTCGCCATCAAGTTAGTTCCAAGGTTTGCAGTTCAAATATTCTGCTGCTTTTCCAAGCCTTTTTACTTTCTTTTCTTCTCTTATCACACATTCAAGCCCCCAGTGTTCATGTATCATTTCAATCTAAATTCTTCACTTTCTTCTTACACATTACATTTCAGCATAGCAGTTTAGCGTCAGCTTTTCAGCATAAAGCATTCCCACTAGCAATTTCTTCAGGAATTACATTCTCTAGTTTGTATTAATGTGGACCGGAGGGAGAGGGTGACGAGCATAAGTTTCACTTTTCTTTTTTATTTAAATTCCACCCTTGGTCATGAAGAATATGTTTCTCTGTTGTCCCCGTTCATAAAGCATAAAACAACAGCATCAGAGCACGGTGCAGAGTCTCTAGATGAGTTTACAGTAGTCCCTCGTTCTTATTAAACATCCATGTTGTAGTCCGCTGTATAGAAAACGGTAGTTTCCATAGTTTCCCCACAGCAGCAGGCGCACATTTATGACCTCCACTGGCGCATCATAAACACGTCGGATAGTGAAAGTGCAGTCGGATTCTCTAAAGTACCGCAGTCTCTTCTCCTAAGTCCTTTTTAATTCTCCTATCCACTATCCCTTAACCCTGTGACGTTTCACACAGAGGTCAAGGGATAGACGATAGGGATAGACGATAGGAGCTGATTTTTGGACTATTCGACCGCAACCCTGCTCTCTCTGCCCCTCTTCTGTTTTCACTGATACTAATGAGGACCTGAACCTTCAAAATAAGACTCAGCTTTAACAGACCCAAACAATGCTTTCTGCTGAGCAACCAGACAAACAGCAGCGAGCTGGTGGGTGACTAACATAGCAGGTGGTCAACTCCTTTAAATCAATTTAATATGAATTAATTACACCCACACACACTGCACCTTGTCACAGTAAAACAATTGTACATGTACCTTTGCTGTGTTTCAGAAAATGCTTGAAGCCTCGGAGCTCACAAAGGGGATCCAGTGAGGAGAAAAGGAGGTGAAGAGGAGAGGAGGAGAGGAGGCGAGGAGAAGAGGAGGAGCTAATGGAACCTACGCCTGCCTTCGCTGCACACAGCTTTAACACATCACTCCCTCATGTATGTTTCTTACGCTGCTTATATGCACAGCATCGCTGGATGGAAACACTATCTGTAATCTCTTTTCATATTACAGCATTAACGGTTTATTTTGGGGTGGTGTACACAATGGTATAAATGGTTTAGAAATCCCAAAGGAATGCTGCAATATTAATTAATACTGGCCTTTGGGATTATGCAAATGTTAAAATGTGTCATCTAACTATGAGTTGAAGGGTGAGGGTGTAAACACATGAAAGCAAAGGTTCAGGGTTAAAGCTCATCGGGAGGCAAAACGTGGCCCAAAAGATTCTAATAAGCGATCAAACTCATCATTTCAATGTTATGTAATTACTACTGGGGTGGGATGTCCCTCACAAAATTGCAAAATTAAAGACTCATAAATTAAGATAGAACATTCTATTGTCCAAAAATATATATTTTGTTACTCAGATGCTGGTTGGAGCTTTAAATCTAAATGTTTGACTTTGAAGTTGCTATCTTGGAAAATAAACCATATAAATTCAGATTTTGAAATATAAATGTTTACTTCCCTTAAATCAATGTTTATTAGATTTCAAACTGACATGTTATGTAGGGATTAAATCCCACTATTCAGTATTCAGATGCTTGTAAACATAATGCTTCCCAGACTGACAAGGACAGATGTAGCTGTGTTGGGCTCAGCATGTTACCTCAGGTGAAGATGAGCACTCAGTGCCTTGAAATGCAACGCCTATCTCAATGTGTGTTTGTGTGCTCTGGTATTTACATGTTCTACTGTATTTAAGTGTTGATGGGGAATAAAGCAGATCAAAGCTTCTACAGAAGGAAATGAAATGTGTGTGTAGTGTTATTGAATTTCAGCGCTAGAGGCCTGAAACCTGTGAAACATACACTGACAACCAGGAAGTCAGCATTGTTTGTGAGGAAATGAGCGGAGTTTATGGAAAATGAATAATGTTTACAGTGGGCGTGGACCATCTGCTGTGGAAGCTTCTAGCAGCACACAGGTGTGGGAGAGAAACTCCCTCTGGAGGAAACACAAGGATTATAGCCTTTGGAGACCATTTACATGCATAGAAACCTATACAACACACTACAGGAAAGGGACAACCCCCAAAGCATAGGGCCTTTTAATCATTAAGGTTGAGCAGGTATTTTGTTTGTTAGCTTTAGTGTTAAAGTATATATGCTTGTATGTATACTGTAGACACACTACAGGAAGGGGAAGACCCCCCAAAAGCATAAAAGGGCCTCTTTAAACTGTGAAACATGGACGTGGTCTCAGCCTTCAGCCGTCTCCCTCTTGTGAGCAATGACCTCGCCAAGCTGCTGCCGGTCAGGGGGCAGAGACGTGGATCGCCGGAGGAGAAGAGGTGGTGAGGGCGACCAGGTGGGTTTTACTGCTTAATGAGATACATTTCTGATCCTGCATCCAACATTGGACGGGTCTGCTGTGTGTGGCGGGGTTACACTGAACACGTTCAGTTTCAATGCTCCACATATCTTAAACAAACTCCCGGAGAACTGCAGGCCATTAACAACCAAGGCTGTTTGCCTCTGCCTTCATTCAATCCAGTGATGGAAGAAGTACTAAGTGCCTATAATAAAGTTGACTGTTACAACAAAAGTCCTGCATACAGAATCTTAAAGAAAAAGTACAAATCTTTTGGCATCAAAATATACTTAAAACGACAGAACTTGTAAAATGGCCCGTCATAAATATGAAAGAACTGCATTATGATTATTGATAATGTAATGTTTAATTACAGCTGGTAAAGGTGGAGCACATCTTAATTACTTTTATATTATATCGTTTTTATTTCCATTGTCTTGGCTCTTAAGGACTTTGTATTTAAATGTAATTTCATTATGCAGTTATGAGTTTGTCTACATTCTTTTAATGTTTTTTTTAAAGCACTTTGAATTGCTTTTTGCTGTAAATAATAGATCACTTAAAGTGGACCTATCATGCTATATTTAAATGATATATTGTAGGGCCTTACCTATATAAGGTATATTTATACGTTTGTTTTCAAAATACCAAACAGATCATGCATTTTAGCCATGCCTCATTTCGCTCTATTTGCTGTTCTCCAGCCCTGTTTTTGCAGGGGGCTGATTCTGTGAGCTGCAGCTGACCACGCCCCCCTGCAGGAGAGGGGAGCACGCTCTGATCAAGTCAGAAGAGGGGGAGAAAAAGAGATCTCCGTCCTCCGTGTTTTATTATATAGAGTCGTTATTCATTTGTTTTAAAGCTCAATAAATAACAAAGAAGACCTTTGACAGGCACTTTTCTAATTTTGTCCGGAAGATTTAAACTTTAACGGACATCTTGACCGGCGAAACAAACTGAAACTGAAACTCTGCCGCACGGTCCCCTCGTTCCTTGGAAGAGGCGGAGAGGTGGGTGTTTGTCATCTGCTGGTGGACTAACCGGAGAGAATTACAGTGCTTGCCTCGACGGGGAGGGATTGCATTGAATTAAAGCAGCAGGAGCAAACGCTTGCCTCGGGGAGGGAGAAAAAAAGCCACAGCGGAGAATAAACAGAAGGGTAACCATGGTAACCATGCGCGGGAAGTCGTCTTCGCTGCTTTTGTGGCAGACTACAGCGCCACTTACAGGCCTGGCATATGTACTACAGCGTCTCCAGCGCTTTCGAGCGGCAATGGCCGGCCGTGGCCCAACCCCACATTCCCCAGATAGGTGGAGAGTTGGCCCAATAGCCGTAGCGCCACCGTCCTGACGTCAGTAACGTGTTTAAATCAGTTTTTATCAGATCCGTTGCAGCCCCTTTTTTAGAGATTTGGGTATGGAGGAAAAGAGAGAGGGTTGTGTTTTCTGACACTTGGTGAGTTCCCTGGAACACCGGGGACACATATTCATGTATAAAAGACGTACAAAAGTGCATTTTGCATGATAGGTCCCCTTTAAATCAAGAGCCCAGGCATGAGACAGTATTCCACATTTTATTTTTAGATATCACCATAGCTAAGTGTAACTTCTGACAACAGGTATCAACAGGTATAATACACTGAATATTCCGTCGCAACTCTTTTTTTCTGCTGCTTTTTGGTCCAGTAGCGTCTGTGGCGAGTCTCTCCTGTGTGTCGCTGAACACTGAAACACATGCACGTCATTCACCTGGAAACAGAGCAGTCACACAGACTGACGGTATGAAGAGGACACCCATACAGTATTACTAATTATCATAAGGCTAGATTACTGTACAGCTATGCACCAAAGTGTCCACTCTGAGAAAGAGCACCATATTTACAACTCCATTTACACTGGTTTCCAAAAGGAACAAAAACAAAGATAAAAAGACATTTCAAACAGCGTTCCTTTTTTCTCTTCAGTCAAACATGGCTATGTAGTACGGAAGAAGGTTAGGGTCACATTTTCAATCTGACCAAACTGAATTCATTTTTTTGACTTCTTGGACTTAAATCAGGATTATGAGAAAATGGTCTGAATTCTGTCAAAAATTCAAAAGTCTGAATTTTGAGAATGAAGTCTGAATTCTGAAGAAAATATTGAGTTTTCTTCAGAATTCAGAGGAAAATATAGACTTTTTCTCCAAATTCTGACCTTTTTGTCCTAAGAATTCTCACTTTAATCTGAAAATTCAGAGAAAAAAAATGGATGAATTTGAAGAATTAAGTCAGAATTCTGATTCTCAATTCACAATTCTGAGATTTAAGTTAGAATTTAAATTAGAATAAATAAACAAACTGAAAAACTCACTTTAATCTTAGAATAAAGAACATTTTTTTAATTACTGTTGGTCAGACCCTAATTATAAAAAAGTCCCATGTGGCCTTAACCCTCTGCTGTAATGTTGGAATACAAAAACAAAACAATTAAAACTAATAAAAAAAGTTTCTGTACAGATAGCTGCAACACACCGCTTATTGCCAATGCCCTCAAGAGTCCCCCGTCCCCCTCCCCTTTATGTGATGCTCTCTTTAGCTGACTGTGAGCCCCTCCTGCTACACAGCATCACCCCTCACATGTCCCAACAGCATCACCCCTCACATGTCCCAACAGCATCACCCCTCACATGTCCCAACAGCATCACCCCTCACATGTCCCAACAGCATCACCCCTCACATGTCCCAACAGCCTCACCCCTCACATGTCCCAACAGCATCACCCCTCACATGTCCCAACAGCATCACCCCTCACATGTCCCAACAGCATCACCCCTCACATGTCCCAACAGCATCACCCCTCACATGTCCCAACAGCATCACCCCTCACATGTCCCAACAGCACATCGCTCCAAAGAAATGTACAGGATTTAAAAATAAACTCTACTTTCAACAGACTGTATATACAGGTGGGCTGCAGGGAGCCAGCAGAGGTCAAACCAGACACACGTAACGCTCCGTCAGCAAAACACTGGAATATGAATAAAAAAATAAGAACAGCTCATCTCGACATGTGGTCAGCAGTAACGTGTCCAAAGATTGTGTCGCTGCAGAGGAGTGCACTTTGATAAAGGAGCAGCTCCTTTATCAAAGTCAGATGGAAAGGGCTCAGAATGTCTCTGACAGAATGTCTCTGGGAGAGGTACAGCTTTAAAACATCAGGAAACACATCGTCCAAGTGCAACACTGAATCCAAACTGGAGTCAAAATTAAAACTTTCTCTCTTCCCTTCTATAAAAGACAACTCGTGAACTCAGAAATGTATTCCCAGTTCCAAGGGTGGGGGGGCTCTGCTGAGTCAGCTGTACCACAGAGAGTCAGGGAATACGTTCTGAGAGACAAACAGAAAAGATCCAGTGTTTTGAGAATAAAGTGACAATTTAAATGTAAGATATACAAATATACCAATTCTTCCTCAGAATTATGGATTTCAATTGAATTATTGAAACTTTTTTTTAAATGACAGTTTAGACTCAAAATATGTTTTTTTGTAAAATTACTAGTCTTGATATTAAAATGTATTTTATACTTTTCCCTCTAAAATGACTATTTTGGCCTCTTCAAATGAACCTTTCTTTTCTTTTCATATATTTACTCAATGCTCAAAAATGTAATACATGTTTTCCGCATACTCAGCAAAAAAACGTGTTGTTCCTCCCACCTGGGGGGGGGGGGGTTACAAACAGAAAGCTACTGAACACCTGGATGTAGAGCTGCTCTCCGCTCAGATGACCTGGCAGCAGCTGACGGGGGCCGAGCCCCCCCCCCGCTGGATGTTCACAGAGAGGGTCTTCTCACACAGAGGTAGTTGCAGCACCCCGTTCTTCAGAGCGCTCAGGCTGCTGTGAGGGTGCCTGCTGCCGGGGGGGCCGTGCGCCGCTGTCTTGCGGTGGGGGGCGTGGGGGCGGGGCAGGGCGGTGGCGGGGAGGGTGATGGTGTCCAGGCTCCCGGTGGAGCCGATGCACATCCTCCACGCAGACTTCTCCTGGATCTTCACGGTCCCCCCCGGGAGGCTGCGAGGATCAAAGAGGAACTCCCCCCCCCCTCGGCCCCGGAGGCACAGGCTCATCAGCTTCAGGCTCTCCACCAGCTCCGTGCTGAGGGAGGGGTTCGTGCTCCTGCTGTTGTGACAACAGCTGGAGGGACTGTCCTGTCCTTTACTATCCCCCCCTCCTCCCCCACTCCCCCCTCCGCCGCTTCCCCCGCTTCCTCCGTTACCACCCTCTCCTCCGTTACCTCCAGGAGGACTCCCCTTGTCTGGGCCGGAGGTCCCCCCTCCCTCCCCAGAAGGTTCACTGGGCCCGGAGCTGCTGCCCCCCCCGTTGCCCCCCGAGCTGCCGGGCGGCCCCTCGCTGCTGTCTCTCCGGTTCCAGCCGTACCCGAAGCCTGAGTCTTTGTCCAGGCGCCGGCGGTGGCTCTCCGAGTCGTCGTCGCTGGTCTCAGAGCTGGAGCACGAGGACCCCCTCCCCTGGCTCTTGCGGCGGTGGTAGCGCTTGTGTGTGGCCCCTGGGGAGGCCCCGGAGCTCAGGTTGGCCGCGTTGCCTGCCATGTTCATCTTCAGACGGCTGAGTTTGGGCGGCAGACCCTCGTCCAGGTCGAAGTCGTCGTCCGACTCCCCCTCTTCGAAGATCTGGTTGAGCACCGGGGCGCTCTTCCTGGAGGTGAGGCGGTTGGTGATGGAGGGGGGCTTACGCCTCAGGACCACCTGGCTGTGGATAGTGGCCGGGTCCTGCTCTTCCTCATCCTCTTCATCCTCCGCCAACCTGAAACACAGGAGACACAAAGGAAGTGAGGACAGTCAGTCTTCCCGTTTCTTTCTGAGTCGGTCTCTGCACCTGTGGCACCTTCACTGTTCCCATGGCTTTCAAACAGAAGAGCGGTAAATGAGAAACTCGATAACAAATGTTGGCCTGATTATTCTTTATAACCACTTTGGAGAAGCAGTCAATCATTAGATCGGCACACAAAATTACATCCGAGAAACTGCAGGACGGAGTCTAAAACAAATGTCCTCAAGAGGACTATAAAGTGTATCGTGTCATCCCACACTCTTTCCTTCAGTGATGAAGGGTGTGAGCTCCGCTGAGATTACCTGAAGAGGCAGCCTCTCTGCTTGGCTGCTGCTGAGGTGGATGGTGCGGGGGCCCTGGGGGTCCCAGCAGCACAGGCTCCCTGGAAGGAGACAGCCACATGCATTAGAATGATTAACCCAGGATGTGAGGTATCCAGTGCATTAACAGCAGAAGCAGACACACACACACACACACCTTAGCCAGCGCTGAGTCACACACCGTTTCGTCTCGTCGGCCCAGGTGCAGCAGGCCTTTGGAGCGGTGCCCGTTGAGGAGGCTCTCTATGCTGCGGGCGGGGGACTGGGGGCCCCCAGCGTGGGAGATGGAGGACGCTGCCAGGCTGTCCTCGATGTCCTGGTGCATGTCCACCCTGCTGGGCCACGACTGCCTGCACACAGGATCAAAGATTCAAAGGCTCTATGGTCCTCTGCACAGTGTCTACAATCTGAAGTCCCAAGCTTAATACAAATAGTGCAAGAAATAACAGGATAGAAATACAATTGTGCAAGAGAATGTTGCAAGACTAATGTGCATTAATGCAGGAGAAGTGAAATATAATAAGATGAGCAGAAAATAAAATGTAATACTGTACAGTGAAAGAAAGTACTGCTTATTGTAATAATAAATAAACACAGTTGAGGTCAGTATATAGGTTTTCTCAGATCATTAACCGGCCTCTCTACAGGCTCTAGATCAGCTCCTCTCTGCTTCCTTTAACCTGTTAAGCCCTGAGCCTGTTTTTCAGGTCTCAGACTCAAAAATGACATTCCCAGAACAAATGATCATATCTTCCGTTCTAAAAGGGTTAAATTAATAATCTTTATTCTCAAAGCAATGATAAACCTGTGAGTTGGATGTAGAAAAGTCAGAATCAATATAGATGTTTTTTATTTTAAAGAAAATTCAGATTTTACATAGTAAAAAACTGTAAATTATAGTGTCCGTCCAAAAATTCTTTTTTACTTATAGTGAAAACTACCCTTGGATGATGGGTTAGTAGACTAAAAGCTTTAGGAATCCAAAGTACAACATATAATAAGTACCCTGTATCAAGATTGATGCAAAACAAGTGACACGTGACCTTTTTAGAGAGGTTTAGCAAAAAAACTCCACCTCTGAGGTGATTTGGGTGGAAATGTTTTTTTTTTCCATATCTCTGGCCCCCCTTGGTCGATTTTGATGGTTGACACCTCTTTCTGACCGTTAGAGCCAATAGAATCGAAGGGGGATTCCCCCCCACACACACAGTAAAACAAAAAGGTGGGGGCTTCGCGCATGCAGTTTTGCATCAGAGTGAACCTATACTCTAGCTCTGACATCTGGAAACGGAAAAGCAGGTTTATTGCTTTTGGATTATCAGAAATCATTTCAAAGGGACACAGACACATTGGATTAACCTATGGATTAACTTCAGCAGCGTTTTTATCGTTTTAATACCATTGAAGACCAGTTTTGACCAGACTAGGATACAGGTAAGCCATGTTAGCGTTTTTAGCTACCTAGCGCCACATTTTGATGTCTGTTTTTGTTTATAAAGTCGCGAGTTCGTATCATGGAGTGATAATGTAGGTACCCTTCGATTCTGTGTCACCTCACGATGTGAAACGATGTGTTGGATGGGCAGAAAAGATAAATAATAAGGTTTTGTGAGTGAATTTCGGTGCAGTAATCTGTTTTTTCGCTCGTTGCTAATTCAGAGGCTCAGCGTTAGCATTGTGGGTTTTATTTTGAAAAAAAAATTAAAATGATCAGTTAGATGAGTTTTTTCCTGTTACATGGATATAAAACATTCACAGTTTATTAAATATTAAGATGCCCTCAGACACTGTTTCCTCAGATGACGCGTTTTTCCCCCTGGTATCGGGGGGGGCGGTGCTTAACAGGTTAATGGAAATGCTGTGAATCTGATTCCAGATCAGTTGTGTCCATGCTGTGCTTTATTCAGTGTTTGTTATTGTATCATAGCGCTGCAGCACAAAGGCCACTGTGTTTTCATTGTTAGCCGACAGTGAGTAATGCAGCAATTAAAAGAGAGCGGCTGGAGGACAGGAAGGAAGGCTATGATTACAGCAGAGAGGAACAACATGCGTTCCCTCACTCATTAGGTAACCATAACACTACATCCCCTTCACTGGGGTCAACACTGACAGCAAGATGACTCACAGGAGACATATCCAAAAAGGAAATATTACAGCAGCAGATGTGGAAATCATTTTAGTTCCACAATGAGTCAAGTTCCAAAAACTACATTTCTCAGAATGCACTCAATGTCATCTTTCATTCCCAGCCTGAATCATGCCCCGTTCTTTCAAACGCAAGGCCGCAGTCAGAAAGACTTTCAAAGTCTTGCTGACCACGTCCAGAAGCACCTTTTCTCTTGGCTGAGGAACCAACGGTCGCCGGTTCAACTCGCAATACACAAAAAAACAACAACCAAAAAAATCTAAATACAAATGTGGATCAGGGGTTAGAGTCATCTCAATCTTAAACTCCCACAGTGGAAATGCATCTGGTGCATAAACAGTATATTGGTTTGAATGTAATCAACCCTGAATAACTGCTGCTTCTGTTGTGGCTTTTTCATAATAATGATAGAATTAGAAATCGCCTCTCCTCCCCCTTGCATGCCAACATGGCCAAACAAAACCATAAAGCATGCAGATCTGACATCCTGGCTCCATAATGTTGCACAGCAGAATCTTAAGACTGAAAACTCTTCTTTCAAAACTTCCTTGAACTACCATGAAATATAAGAGCTCTCGATACAAAAAACGTCCTGTCTTTTTGATTGGTTCCAAATGTAGTAATAGTTTCACTACGCTGTGGTGTATTCTATTGCTGAGCATGTGTTGAGATTAAGGGCCCAGCAGACCACTAGTACCAGAAGTACAGGTCCATAAACGTCATTTCCCACAACATCTCTGTGACCTGCTCACTGAAGCGTTTCAATATGGGTTGTTTTCAGCCGCAGCACTATAGCCCTTTGTATTGAAATAAAAGCAGTGTTTCCGTAGTGTACCTGAAGTGGGCCTTGGTGTTGCTGGGGCTGGAGGAGCGGGTCTGCACCTCCTTCTCCTGCTTCTCCCTCAGGATCCTCTCTGCCAGCAGGTAGTACGTGGCTGTGATGTGGTTGTACTTGTTGGTCTCCAGGGCTCTGAAACAACATATTAACAACGGTTACAAATGGTATCTTCACCAAGGACTCGGACATGTTGAACCGCTGATCCTCTGATAGGAAGATCACTGCATGGTCGTCCAAGGTCAGGCCAGTTTTAAATGTCCTTTTCTAACCACAACAAAATTGTGTTTAAAGGGGAATTATTTTCACCGGACATCATGACTGCAAAGATTTAACTATCTTTTTTTGAAGTCCAGTAAATATCTGCTAACAGAAAAATGGTGTACACCGCTGGTATTAAAGTAATGATGTCCTCCCTACCAAAGATTCATTTAATTGCCACATAGAAGTGGTGTACATCATATGAAAGCTAGGAAACTGAAAATGAATTTGAGATGCAGCTCAGCACTGTCCAATGTTAAAGTGCATGGCCAACCAAGGGTACCAATGTTACGTTCAAAGACAGCACGACTCACTCCACTATGGCCTCTCGGTCGGCGATATCTCCCAGCACCATGCGCTGGATGATGCTGTTGTGCTCCTCGTCCGACAGGTTCTTGTGGGACACCAGGGGAGTGTTGAACTTGGTGGCTGGGGAGGGGTCGACCCCCTGCAGCCAGGCGTGGCCCTCGATCTCCTCCAGGGAGGCCCGGTGCTTGGGATCCCTCTGAAGCATGCGGTCTATCAGACTAAAGAAGAGGAGAGAACAGGAAGAGAGTAAAGAGAGCTCTGGTGTACATGAAGAGAAATGGAAGCCCATGTGAGACTCTAGGTTAGCACTGTACACCCCTTTTGGTCACCATGGTTTCATTGTTCCTGCAGTTTGCTTGAACAGAATTTGTGTTGGACCAAATTTGGAGGGTAAAAGGAAAACTACAAGTAAATAATATAACATCTGATATGAATTGAAAGATGTATTGGGAGCTTATGACATGAGAATGATTTGGAGAGACTACAAAAAAAACTGAGAAGAGGAACAGGAAATAAAGGAACATGGTGGATCGATGGGGTGGGATTGTTTGGAAGACACAGTCCCTACGTCACAAATAGTGACAAATACAGGAGCTAAATCAGTAAGTGTGGCGATGGTGGCTGAGGCAGGGAGGGGTGCAAAACACACAATGTCATCCCTTAAGATGAATTAGTGATGGTACAAACAAACACTGCTCAGAAGTGGAGTTGTAGGGTGAATAATGAATGAATTGAATGTATTGTAATTAAGGATGCACACAGGTTGTATTTCTGAAACAGATGCCGATACAAATGTTTTGTTTTGTTAATTACTGATGTATTTTATGTCGTGCAACAAAACGTGGAAATCTCTTAAGCTTGTTTTTAACCGCAGACTTTTCTTTCCACTCAAAAACCTTTGACTTCAAGACAAGGGAACAGGGAGTAGTTTTAAGACTCATTCCTGCACCGCAGCAAATTCCTTGAATGCCTAAACATGATTCTGATTTGTCTCATGATCTAATCCACACCTAGCATCTGGAAGTGGTTGATTATTTTTGGATAGCCAAATTGCAATGTTAAGAGAACTGAGTGAATCCCCCATAATCCTTCACTTGAGCAGCAGAACCAGCGCATCATCAGCAGGATCTGCTTGGAACCGTATACTGAGTGGAACCGTGACTGACACGGTAACAACGTGAGCTGTGGACACGGTCACTCTGCAGTCAGAGCCCAGCAGATGGCCCACAGCTGCTTCAGCTTAGCACTGCAATCTATTCACATCCCTCCTTGGAAATACATTTATTTCCTGTGTCTAAAAATATACAACATGCAGTGAGCGTGGGGAGATAAGAATTGGCCTTTACGACATGTTGATCACAGTGGATCCAATGCCTTTGCTTAGACCCATGAAATCCACTCGTTATCCCTTAGATGGAAAGTAACAGCGGCTTCTTCTCTGCAAAGAGATTTACTTTCTGCCTATTCCGACTAACTTTAGTATACAGCAAGTCTGGAACTGCCTCATGCAATTGTGCAAAAAGGTTTTCTGGGGGAGCTAATGAAATGTTGTGATACTCAGGGATAATGTAGACAATAAGGTTCATAGTAGAGACATAAGTGTCTGGTATTTTCTTGAATAATCCTGGCCACAGATGTTGTCACAGATATCCCCTGCTTAACAATGTACCACCGAGTGTATCGAGCGAAGGAATTAGTATAATGAGAGCGTACTTGCATGCATTCCTAAAAGAGTGGTACAGGAATGAGTCCTAAAACTCAGAAATTACCACTTCCTGTGACCTTGTCTTGAAGTCAGCTGTATTTTTGAACGCGTTTGTGGTGACAGAAATAAGGTCTGTGGTAAACACAACCTTGCGAGATGTTCATATTTTATTCTACGGCATAAAGTATGTCAGTAAGCACTTCACTGATGAATGTCTGAAGCTTCTATGTGTGTTTCCAACACGTGAGCTTTTTACCTCTGGCAATTGCATTTATTCTTAAAAAATTACAAATGAGTATTAATATGTGGAGATTAACCTGCTGAACAAAACGTGTTAAGTAACTTAAAAGTGTGTTGGCCACAAAGCTTATTTTCTGCAATATACCTATATTCAATTGGGAAAACCCATTGCTTTTTGTAGAGGGAGCAATTGCAATGTTACCTTCCGGGTCGGCCTACAGAAATACATCCCGGCTGTGTACAGACCCGGCTCCAAAGCTGTCCTGAGAGGCAGGCCAGTTATTCCAGAGAACTCTAAACTACTGTGTTGTAATCACAGATTTAGTTTCTAACCCGACTGAGATTTATCATGTTTTAAAATGTTGAGGATCCTGCTTAGGTTAGGTGCCTCAACTCTGTAAGGTAGAAGTTAAGATAACTGAATCATTTCTGTAAATATTTTGTATTAAATGACAGAAAGATTTGAAGGATGCTCTACTGTACTCGGCACGGTAATTGACAACTCGTTGGAGTGCTGCAGAGCGAAGTCCTGGGAGCATGTCTCCTCTCCTCTCTCCTCTCCTATTCTCCTCTCTTCTCCTAAAGAACAGCATGCAATGTCAGCTTCATGTGACTTGCCGTCCTCCAAACTGCTCTTTCCATATGTGGACTACAGACACAGACAGCAGGAGTGAAGTGGGACACTCGCAGGGCTTTGGTGCTGCTAATAGGATAGAGCCTGTGCCTGACAGCCAACACTGAGGGAGAAAGCCCACCATCTTATTCTAGTGTGACTAAACAGAGGTGGCGGTGTGTGAAGGCTGTGTATGGATCACTCACTCTTTGCAGGCGCTGGACACATGGTCTGGAACCGAGTATTTACAGTCCATGATCATGGTGAGAGTCTCGCTGTCGTTGGCTTCCTGGAAAGGGGGCTGGCCGCATACCAACATGAACAGGATCACACCGAGACTCCAGATATCTGAGGCAGAGGGAACCAAACACAATCTCAATCACAGCATATACACATATTACAGGACCACAGCATTAACGCATGAAAGCATTTGGTTTTCTGTCAGAATTGAAGAAATAACACTATTTCTGGAACAGTTCTTTGTGTACAATATAAAACATTGGGATCATAATATGGATTATCTCAATTTAATTGACATGCTAAAAAAAAATCATCATCCCAAATTTGGAAATGTTAAATATTGTAATATTTATCGATATTGCAAAGCAACAGCTGTTACGGTACTGTTCTCATATTGAACCGTTGGATTCAGGACATTTGGTTTGGTATGCAACATCATTTCAGTAAATCTGGTGAACAAAATTGTAGTTTATCTACTGCAGGGGTGCCCACACCTTTTCAGCTTGGGAGCTACTTTTGAAATGACCAAGCCCAAATGATCTACCTACAGGGCCACCCCTGCCCAATCTGTGTCGTGAGCGCGCGGGGGGGTGCTAGTGGACTAAACGGCGGATAAACTGTGGCGCGCTTACAATAATTGCGCCGCATAAGCGCATAATAGTGCGCCACATTTGCGCTTCAGATGAGGAGGTGAGGCCCCCACATAACTGCATGAACCCGTATGGCACAATACAACTCAGACTGGCTTACCTGTACGTCAAGTGGCAAATGCCATAGTAGGGATGGATGATAAGCTAATCATAATATTCTTTCTTTTTTTTTTTTTTTAATGCCATGCGATCTACCTACTCTACCTTTGCGATCGACGTATTGGGCACCCCTGATCTACTACAAGACAATTTGTCAGCATTTGAGTGCCTTAATTGTTCCAGTAATAATAATAATATATAATCTACAAAATAAATACAAACATTTGAAATGTTCTGCCATTATTCCGAGGCAAAGTCCTCACGTACTGAGCTACTGCTGCTGGTAGTACTACTCGGGTTGTGTTTGTATTAGTGTGTGCTTCCTTTATGCGTCTGAGTTTGAGTGGAGCCAGAGATGGTGAGGTGCGGAGAGGCAGAAAGCCCCAGGGACGGCAGGCGTACCACCTCACACCTGGCTCACTCACAGCAGCAATGTTACTATGGCAACGCTTCCAGCCTCTTTAGAGAGAGAAACAGTCCACACATAACCACAATAACATGGCAGCTCTACACAACATCCGCTCAAGCATTGTCAGCTGAGAACCAAACTTCCCCATTTAGCAACAAGAGAAGCTTGAATTCTGCACCGGTAATTACAGAATACATCATTCTGCTTGTCAACATAAAATAAAGGGTTTGAAATCACTTTAAAGAGACCCTATTATATGTTTGAGGGTTTTCCCTTTCCTGTAGTATGTTATATAAAAAGGTGTTTGTGCATGTAAACGGTTTGCAAAGGCTCCAATCCCTGTGTTCCCTCCAGAGGGAGTTTCTCTCTCACACACTTCCCCCCCCCCCCTGCCTGAAACATCTGCATTGGACTGGACTCCTTTGTTTACTTCTGTAACTTAGTGACATCACTAAGTAGCACTTCTATTGGCTAGCATTGTATGTGATAGGCTAAGGGGCGGGACATTTCCTACACATCTCTAAGCGGTTGACCAATCACCACAGAGCCTTACAGCTAACCAATCAGAGCAGACTGGGCTCTGGTTTCAGACAGAGGGTGAAAAGAGGTGCTGCAGCACAGGCAGTATGAGAACAATAAATGCCTTTTTGAACATTAGAGCATGGAGACACGTCACAGTAGAGGCACTACATACAAATATGAAAATGAGCACATGTGCTTTTTAAATAGCAGTTTATATTTGTATTCCCATCTTGGCCTCAACAAACAAATAGAGGAAACACCATTTCCTCTACTTCCCTTCCACCCTTGCTCATATTTGATTCCTCATATTTCTATAATCCAGGGTTTCACCAAACGGCCCCTTAACATTTTTTAATTAACTAATTTATGTGCACTTTGTGTTTTATTTTAGCCAAGTGTGAGTATGCTGTTATTTACCATCACGCTTATTTCCCCCCTCTCTCCTGTGTTTCACAGAGGATGGGGCTTTGCACAAGGTGGAGCACAGAGTAATGATTCAAATACCCCATGTCTGGTTCCAGCTGTAGACCCAGTAGTTCTCCCTATCAATATACAGTATGCTTTTCTGTGCAGCTAAGTTGGGCTGAACTCATCTCTGGAGATGTCAGGAGATGCAGTGAATCAAACCAGGTAAGAGTAGCAGAGCTATGAGTAAGGAAAATCTGCTAGCCACTAGGCTAATTTATGCTATTTAAATTGCAGCAGCTCATCAACCCCAGCAGGCAGTCAACCTGAACCACTTGTTTTCATTATTCCTTCTCCACTCCCATCATTCACCACCTCTCCAAAGTCAGTATCTCTTCAATGGTGGAGGCTGCCAGGTTCTACTTTGATTTTCCTTTCCAAATCCCCTTTCCCTAACACACAAACACACTAGCTTTGATCTTCCGAGCATCCTCTCCTCCTCTCTGGATTACAGCACCATGATGCTTTAATTAGCGACTGTGGGATTGTCTTGGCATCATATCCTCTTCTACTCTGTATTCATACAATTTGCTCTGACAAATCCCTGAGCAGCTTGGAATGACAGCAGCCAGAGTGGCTGTAACCTGGAGGGGCCGTGTGGAAGGAACTGGAACAGTTCTCGATTTCCTCTTTGGAAGGATTCAAACTGTAGATTTCTTTAGTGCCCAAATGATAAAGGCCCTTGCATCTTAAAATGGTATTACAGTTCCGGCATTGTTAAAAAAGCTTTCTAGCGTGTCACACATCAGGAGACTCACTTTGCTCAATTGCCATGGAACTGTAGCTTATCAATGTTACCCATATTTTCATTCTGACTTGTATAATGGAGATGCGAGCACTGAACACCGAAATCCACAATATCCAGCAGGATTTGATTCAGCTTTACACAGAATAGAAGTACAAAATAAATTGGACTTAAAGGATGGGAACTTTTGCCATTATTCTCTATCTGTGGAAAAGAACCTGTACCCCATAAAGCATTGGAGAGAGACATATACTTATTTAAGCAGGGAAAAAAGCTCCCCGAGCCTAGAAAATACTAATTGGCAAGCAGTTAGGGCTGTACCCGAATATCCGAATATTCGTTCATTGGTAGGGCTGCACGATTTTGGGAAAAAGATCTGATTGCGATTTTTCTGACAAATAAATATTAGTTTATTGTAAAATGCGGCCATATCTCCGGCTAGGAAGGTCGCATCAACGTGCTCCCGTCTCTAGCACCCCCGCAGCCCGAGCTACGAGTGAAAGAACTAAACTTACATGATACTTCCGTTGGGTTGCTTTAAAGTCAAGCTTCAGTTTAAGATTCACCCTGTAATAGAAACATGTGATGGAGCATTACTAACCTGACTCAGATGGTTTGTTTCACCAAACCATCTAGGAAAGCTCCATTGGAAGCCATTTGGAAAAGGGCAGGCACTTGGCAGGTGATTGGATCAATCTGTCTATGACCTTCTATCATGGGCCACTTCTGATTGGTTAACAATGACTGGTACATGTGGAGCACAGCAATTCTGATTGGTGTGGATGACTGACACACAAGAAGAGAAAAAAATAAAATGTAAAAAAATAATAAAAAAAGGTTGAAAAAAATCGCAGGCTTTGCGATTTGATAATCGCATCATTTCAAATCGCGATTTCGATTTCAAATCGATTAATCGTTCAGCCCTATTCGTTGGAGTACTATTCGGGTTTCAATTTCGTTATTCGGTGCACTGCGGCTGCCAAATTGAATTTATTGAAAACTCCAATATCAACGTAAGAGCTTGTGCCTCTTCGGGGGGTGCTAACACTTAACCATAAACGTTATCGTTTACTTTCTCCGTCTTTATATGTAGATATGACTTTTTCTCCATTAATCTCCGTCACGTTGTTTCCATAGCAACAACAACTTCCTGTCAACAGCGCTAACTCTCCTTCAAAATAAAAGCATGTCCATACAAAATAGGAAGCCAAGCCAAATTACACTTAAGACATATACAACTGCAACGAAAGTAACACACACAATGCAATATCCTTTTCAATTTCAAAGAACACAAATTGGGTTATATACATTAACAAATAACTATAAAACAACAATACTGTAGAATAACAAAATGAATGCCGTGAATAAACCGAAATACACGTGTTGAAGCGGTTCGCTGCTGATTACTACGCACCTCCTTTGATGTTCAAAGCTGGAGAGTGGCTTAAGATATTAAATTATGCACACTTTGGAGCGAACTCCGTTAAATAAAATCAATAGGTTGCTTTAGACACACTTGTACTCTTTGCACTCTTTACTTGCTGTAACAATGTGCATTTCCCCTCTGTGGGACGAATAAAGGTATTCTGATTCTCAGGCATTTATTCACCCACAAATGAACCGTAGACACCGCAGCACTACACACAGCTATGTTACTGCTACTTTCAATATAGATTAGCAGTTTACCCTGTAACATTATTGGAGAAGAGAGTTTAGTTTACTGCCTCCTATCCGAGTTCAACGCACCAGGGCAAGGTTTAGTCTCAAATCCTGATTCTGATGATACCAGAAATGTCACATTTTCAGAGTTTTGGCATTTCTGGCTTCTCCTATCACAATCCATACCACATACCGCACTAATATCTCCTCAAACCATGAAGACCTTTCCCACCACCATGTTAATGAATCTGAGGTGCACTCCAAGCTTTCCAAGGCTCAAAGAGAGTTTGGAGTGCAATGGCTGCAAAGCAATGACTGCGGTCATAAAATAACATCTATTATTTTGCACTGTACTAGGGCTGCACGATTAGGGGAAATAATCTAATTGGGATTTTTCTGACAGATATTGCGATTGCGATTCGATTTGCGATTTTGTTTTTAAGCGACCCAACGGAAGTTTATTGTAAAATGCGGCCATATCTCCGGTCGTATCAACGTGCTCCCGTCTCTAGCACCCCCGCAGCCCGAGCTACGAGTGAAAGAACTAAACTTACATGAA